GAGGAGCAAGAGGAGGGCTTTTCCTTTGTTTAAGCTAAACCTAAAGTGCTCTTTGAAGAAAATTCTACAGACAGTGATCTTTTCCTCTTCTTCTGATGTGACTAAAAAAACTAAAAGCAGGAGATTCTATCTTACCCCATCTGGCTCTCCTTAGGAGTCGGTGAGGTAGGGGAAAGCCCATTGTGATTCAGATGGAACTACTGGATTATACCTTTAAACCCAAATCACTTTGACTTTCATCGAGCAGTCGATAAAAAATTTCAGCCCAAGCCTCTCTTGCTCTTTGTTGGGGTTTTGATGGCTCTGAGTGAGCAGAAATAGCAATTATTTTCTGTTTTGGCCAGAAACTCTAAGGTTCTTCCCCTTCCTGATTCTTTTGTGATGGCAAGCCAGGCCATCCTCTGTCTCAATTCTTACCTAGCCCTTAGCCATTGAATGGGCATTATCTCAGTCAAAGTGAGATCTGGGAAAGGTGGTTGTTTGTCCTTCGTTCTCAAGAAGGACCATGACATCACGATGCCATGACATGCAAGTGAATTGAATTTAAGTGAGGGAGGGCTGTGCAAACTCACCAGCCTCACTTTCTCTGGAGCCATTCAGGTCCAGTGGCCAGATAAAGATCAGGACAACTGGAGATAGCCCAGGATGCAATGAAGACCTTAGCCTTTTCAAGCTAAGGTCTTTAACAGGTCTCAATTTGACTGAGGCAAGGCTCATTTAGAGATTAAGGCAGAGAATGGCCTCTTTACCTAGTCAAAAAAATAAAATAAAATAAAATAAAAATCAATCTGGGAGGGGAAGACCCTCAGAGTTTCTGGCCAAAACAAAAATAATTGCTATTTACATTTATTCTGAGCCAGTCAGGGCCCAAACAATGACCAAATAGGGCTAGCCTAGGGACCCACTGACCTTAGTTTAAAAATGCCAAAGTCACCCGTTGCATTCTGCGTCATTGCCAGTTAACTTTTGTCTTGCCGCTGGACTCCCATGACTCTGGAGGAGAGAGTGAGGCTAATGACTTTGCACAGCTCTGGCCCACTTTAATCCAATTCACACACAAGTCAAGACATCAGCTTCATGATGTCATTGGTCCTCTTTGGAAATAAAGGACAAACAACAACAACATCTCGACCCTAAAAATGATTTCTTCTAGACTAATAATATTTGAGTATGGAGTGAGGAGAATAGATATAATCCTGGTCCAGAATTCTTTGTCTGAGGAGAGCACAGTGGCTAGCCTCTGGCTTCAACCTCCTACAACCCTTCTGGCAGGAATCAAAGATTCCCTTGAAGGGTGGGCAGTGACGATTCTAAAGATATCTATGCATACCTCGGACCCACATCTAGGCAGACCCATGTGGAGAAACATAACCTCATATCAAACAGCACACCACGTCCCCTTACATTAGGGATGGAATGGGATCCAGTCGGTCCCTCTTTCTTCAAACCTTGGTCCAGGGGGCTAAACATGGTCAGTCTAATACCAAATCAGGCCCACTGAGGCAGGGGTGGAAGTGGTACCATTGGTCAATGATAAGGGGGTGAGAGGTTCAGGTGTGTTAATTAAGCAACTCCAAGGTGGTAAGGAAAGAGCCCAACAGTAAAGGTACTTGAGGCTTGAGCTGTTAGGTATACCCTGAAGGACACCCCACAGAAGGTGGGACAAAGGGCACTACAATCACATTAGTTTTTTGCCAACATTTGAGAAGTCTTGAACTATTTATGTCTCTATCTTCCGGACTTAAAGTCTTTATTGAAGAATTGGTACTCCATTCACTAAAGAAATATTCCCATAAAGAATCACAAAGTGGGCTAGTGGATACAAGTCAACCTTAGAGGCAGGAACACCTAGCTTGAAGTCCCTTCTCTGAAATTAATTTAATAAATAAATATTTATTAAGCACTTACCATGTGCCAGGCAATGTACTAAGAAGTGGGATGCAAAAAGAGGTAAAAGACAGTCCCAGCCCTCAAGAAGCTGGCTATGTGATCATAGGCTAGTTACTTTACCTCTCAGTGACCCTGGGCAACTCTGAGTCTGAATGGCAAATCTGTATTGGTAGAGGGCATTTCTTCCCCAGGAGTTCCCAGGACCAATTAAGTCACAGGTCAAGACCCCTTGGCCTCCCCCCAAAAAAGAAAGAACTAGGCTTACAAACATGTTTCTTGAGAGAAAGGACTAAAAATAAGAATTCTCAATAAGTACTTGAATTCAATAAGTACTTACTGTGTTCACTCACTATGTGGACACATGTAATTCATTAGCATCTTAGTAGGGGCTAGGAAAGATGCAGAAAATCAACACATGGGCCTCTTCACACTGATCTCTGCCCTCTTGGAACTCGGGAAGAATACGCAAATACACATAGAAAACAACTTCAACAGTTTGATTGTTCAGTGCCCCGTCATCCTGTATATGATGGCAATCACAGCACATCCCTACCTTCTCATCCAGGGTAATTCTTATACCATAGAGGTAAATCCTCCACAGAGATCCCATCAAATGTGCTGGGAGTCTTCTCTTGATGATTTGTGGATAACCATAGAGTAACAGCTGTAACTGGCCCCCTCTCCTTTTCTTGTGGTAAATCTCTTTGATGATGCAAAAGAGAACAAAAAAAGGAAAGGTAGAAAATGCTAAAAGAAGTCTGAATAAGGATCTTCACTTCTGATTGAGGGAATTAGGGAACCCTTCAAGGAAGCTATGCTTCTTGAGTTAAGGATGGCTGGGAATTTCATAAGTGAGGATGGGGGCGGGAAAAGAAAGGCTGCCCGGAGTGGGAGGGGTGGAAGAAGAGGGATTCCAAGGCATGGAGGCAAGATACAGGTGGAGTACAAGACAGATTGTGATAGAGTACAAGGTAGAGAATAGTGGAAAATTATATATAGAGATATGTATATATGTATGTATATATAGGGGTCCTGCTAGATTGTAGAAGACTTTGCATGCTAGCCAAAGGATATGGGCTTTATTTGAGAAGCATCAAAGAGCTATTGAAGAATGGATGTTTGGAAAACAGACACATAAGCATTTTCCTAATAATAAGAGCATTGTGCCTAGGATCATAACACTTGGGTTCAAATCCTAGACAAATGACTTAACCTCAATTTCCTCCTCAGCAAAATTAAAGACTAAAGTAAGGTCCCTTCCAGCTTTCCAATATTTTCTGTTAAGATGTTCTTTGTCATAACACGTATTTGATCTATGAAATGCAATACTTTCTTTAGAAAATTGCATGTTAGGGGGCAGCTAGGTGGCACAGTGGGTAGAGCACTGGCCCTGAAGTCAGGAGGACCTGAGTTCAAATTTGACCTCAGACCAAACACTTGACACTTACTAGCTGTATGACCCTGGGTAAGTCACTTAACCCCAATTGCCTTAAAAAGAAAAGAAAACTGCATGTTAGAGCTAGAATTGGAAATTGTCTAGACTAACCCCCTCATCTTCCAGATAAACTAAAGCTTAAATGGACTCAGAGATTTACCCAATGTCACACAGCCAATAAAAACTTCATCCAAAAACTTCGAGATGCTTAACATTTAGTCACTAATAAAGTAATTGGGTTTCCCAGGGCCAAAGAAAAGCTCGTTCTTTCTTGGGAAGAAAAACAGATAAACGTAATGATGGCTGGGTCCTCGTACTTCCTGTGATACATCATCATGGGGTGAAGGTGACACACAACTCTCAAAGGCTATGCCAGCAGAGGGCAAGTTCTGGCAGGTCCTCCCAAGCTGGAAAGGCTTCAAGTACCAGCCCAGGGACAGAATGTGTATCTGTCCTCAAAATGTCAGGCTAGCAGGGTATGGGAGAATAAGCCCATCACCTTAAGGACCTATCAGTGGAATCACATGTCCTTTGTTTTAGATGAGTTCTGAAGGCTTTATATTAATCATTTTACAAATATTATCCAATGAAATAATATTATAAAGCACTTAGCACAATGCCTGGCACATAGTAGGTGCTAGATAAATACTTACTCCCATCTCCTTCCCTTCCCCCTGCTTCAGGAGACTAGGAAAGCAGGAGAAGGGGAGGAAGATAGGGGGAAAGATTCAAGGGAAGCTCCCTGAGGACCTAGACTTCATTCCTTTATTTTCCCAGCATTTAGCACAGTGCCTAGCGTAGTCACATAGTAGGAGCTTAATAAATACTTGTTGGCTGATTCACTTTTGTATTTGTTTCCTGGGAACCTAGTCCAGAGCCTTGGCATACTTTATATTCAATAAATTGATTTTAGGTTACCATACATAGGCTTTCTAGTGAGGTAGTGAGCTCCCAACACCGACGTATAGAAGCAGAGGCAGAGGCAGAAAGGTGTCTTCTCAGGTATGTTTTAGTTGAGGGTCTATGTTCAGGTACAGGCTGGATTGGATGAGTTCCTCTATTCTAATAAAAAGCATTAGGATAGCTAGTTGGCAAGGTCAGGACAGACCTGTATTCAAGTCCTGCTTTAGACACTTAATAACTGTGTAACTGAGCAAATCACTTAACCTGTTTCTTTATCTGTAAAATAGGAGTAATAATGTCACCTACTCACAGTGTGGGGAGATAATATATGTAAAGAGCATTACAACCCTTAAGGCGCTACATAAGTGCTATACTATAATTATCAATTATTAAATGGAAGGCAGAGAGAAACTGAGGATAGGAAGAACAAAGTCGAGGAGACAAATGGGATGGCACTGGGCGGGATTGGGTCGAGGGGAAGGGGCGGGGTTGAGCCTCAGAACCGAAAAGGACCAGACGTGAGGAAGGCAGGAGGCAGGGCACTGAAGTTAGGTGCCCTCCCCCACTCGCTGTCTATAAAGACGTGATTCTCTACCCGGCCAACTCCCATTGGCTATTCAAATAAGTGAAGAACCCGTGGACCAATGAGGTGCGGCCACGGCTTGGCGAGCGTTTTCTCGTCCTCCCTCTCCCGCTGCTATTGCTGCTCTCTTGCTTCCCTCCCCCCTCCTGGGCGGAGGGCGGGGTTCGGCGGGCCGGCGGGGCTACTGAGGAGAGAGCGGGCGGGTGGCAGAGGGTGCGGGCGAGAGGGGATTGCGGCGGCAGCTCTTATTGCAGCGGTGCCCCCGGGCGCTCCTCAACATGACCGGCCTAGGGTTCGGTAAGCGCAAGGCTGGCGCGCGCGCGGAGGCGGCGGTTGGGAGAGCGTTGGGGGGATGGGGAGGGGAGTAGCGCGCGCGGACTGCCGGCTTCAGCCTCCGCCCCCCGCGGCCATTGTGGCGGCCGGACCGGCCCGAGCGAGAGGAGGGAGCCCAGAGGAAGGGGTGGGCTCGGGTCGGGAAACGTGCAGGGCTGGGACCGTGCTGCTGTGGATGGGAGGGAGGGGGAAGAACGGCGCGTGAGGATGAACTAGGACGGGGGTGGGGCTGGGGGTCTCGATGGTGGCGGGGGAGCCGTGCGGAGAGTTTGTCGGAAAGTAAAAGTGAAGGACTTTGGGACCCCTGCGTGGTGGGGGAGGGGTCTGAGTGGGCTGGAGTTTGGTGAGCTTGGGGCGGTGGACAGAGGAACACGGAGCACCCCAGTGAGGAGTAGGACGGTGCTTAAGGAGGAAAGGTAGACACGGGAGGCCCTCCATCGGGGCGGGGGGAAATGGGGGGCTGCTGTCTGTGAGCGGGTGTAAGTGGGGGACCAAACTCACTGAGGGCGGGAGATGCTGCGCGTGTGTGAGTGTGCGCGGGGGATGGAGGTAGGGGTGGGACCCAGTGGTGAAGAAGCCTCGGAGAGGAAGTTCTTCCTGTAGGGGAGGAAATGATGGCAGTGGGGGGCGTCAGTTTGGGTGGGACGGGACGGGAGTCCTTTCCTCGCAAAACTTTGAGCAGTCTGTGAATTGGGATGGTGGGGGTGGGGAAAGCTTCGTTACATCTCAGTTAGTGATGTGAGTGGCCCAGTGAGGTTTATTCTTAATATTCTCTCTCCCATTCTGCCTTGACAAGTGTTTTGTTTTTGTGTGTGTGTTTATTGGGGGGGGGGAGTAAAAGCGTACTTCTTCTGGACCCAGAGAACCAAACTATTGTTTGTAGCCTCCCTCAGGTGTGGGAGAGGGAATTCTGAACTCATTTCTCCTTGCACCAAGTATTTGGAAGGATATGGTACAAAGAAAAAGAATTTGCTGTGAGTTCATTTTGTTTATACTTAATTTTTATGGGTACACAAGGTGGGTTGGGAGTACCACACAGTTCTTCAAAGATACATGTATTGTGTAAAATGAAGTATACCTATTTGAAGAATGTGGAGCCTTGGGTTCAAGGGACCCTTGCCTCTCTGGGTCTATCCTACATAATAATACTCCATTGAGGTGAAGGCTGAGTAAGCGTTTTGCATGGGGCACAATGTGAATGATAGGTGTGATGTCTCTCTATTATGTACCTGTACTTCTATCAGGGGTGCTGTTTTCCCTTTTATATCCTTAGATTGTAACAGTACCTAGTACATAGGAATTGCTTAATAAATATTTGCTGACTAGAGATCATAGACCAAATCCGTCATTTACAGTTCAGGAAACTGAGACCCAGAAAGGTTAAATGACTTGTCCAGTGTCACACAAGTGTAATTAAGTAGCAGATCCTGGGTTTAAACTCAAATTCTCTGATTCAAAATCTGATGTCCTATCCATTCAACTGAAGAGGATGACTTCTGTATTAATTTAGCTCATAATTTATTAAATTTCCTTGAGAATCTCTAGGTTTCTGGGTAAGCAATCATCAAAATATGGATGGTTTTAGAATTCACACTCTTATTAGAATGTGGAATTGTCCCTTTCCTGAGACTTCACTGAGGCAGCATAGTGACATCCTTGAATGCAGTAAATAGAAGTTACAGATGCCAAATCATCTGCTCACATATATTCTAGGCATTTAGATAATTGAGATGTTACTGATGGCATTCATCAGTGACTAGAAGGATAAAAATAAATTTAGAAACAGTATAGGTCAATTTAGAAATTAACCTGTTTTGTCATGTTTGCATTTATAGAGATATATGGGGTTCTTTTGTTTGGGGGCCTGAAGTTAAGAGCTAGCAATTAGCCTATAAGTTCTCCCTTATATAACCTTTTAATTTTTTAAATTCTGAACTTAGATTCCCAAAAAACTTTTTCGTATATATAACAGAACACAAAAACAAAATAGTATATGCAACTGTGATATTTCTCCATTCCTCTAGCTTTTTTTTTTTTTTAAGTATGATACACATTACTTGCAAAACTATTCTCTTCTGAGAGAGAGAGAGCAATTAGGGTTATGGTTAGCATCACTTCTCTTTCAGGAAATAACATACTTCATCATAGATCCTCTGGGGAGGCATGGTTGGTCCTTGAATTGATCTGAATGCTTTGCAGCATTGTTGTATTTGTGTAATTTGTCCTTATGTTTCTGCTCATTTGAACTCTGTATTAGTTCATAATACCCAGAATTCTCTAAAAGTATCTTTTGTCCTTTTTATGGCACAATAAATACATATATCATGATTTGTTCAGCCATTGATGGGCACTCCCTTAGGTTCTGGATCTTTTCCCACTTTTAACTGCACCTTCAGAATCAGAAATTTTGCTTTGCTTGTTGTTATTTCTTCCCTCGTCTTATTTTCCCTTTTTACCCCACCTTCAAATTCCTGTATGTTTTCTTGTATTTTTACATGAAATTGTGTGTGTGGGTTCAACTTTCTTCTCTCTTTTACAGGTAAGAGTGAGGTTCTTCTGATCCCTGCCCTGTCTCCTCCATTTTTACATATTCTCCAATTTTGAGAAATAGCAAGTTGCACCCCTTTCTTCTTCTCTACACTAGTGTATTCCTTTTATCCTCCATTCTCTTGCCCTTTTAAAGTCTTCAAAACAGAACCAGTCCACCCCCAAATACTGTTTTTCTTGTTTAACTTCTTTAATCACCTTTGAAAACATTAAGACTGAAGGAACACTTGTTCCCTCCCTTCTCTTCATCATTAAACCCCTTTTTCCAGTTGCTCAAATAAATTTATCTTTGGTCATTTCAACAGAGAAGGGATTAAACATCCTCTCTTCCATTAAAGATCCACTTTTTTACCCCATAGGATTTTACTTAGCTTCACAATGCCAATTATTCTTGATTGTAAGGTTTTATCTTTTGTCTTTTGTAGTACTAAGATCTCTATGTGATCTTGACTGGTTTCTCAGGACTTGAACTCAACTAGGCTTTGCAGTATTTTTTCTTTGACATGGGAGCTCTTGATTCGGGCTATGGCAGTTCTAGGACTTTGCCATTTGTATTTTGAGGAGATGATAAATGGTTTCTTTGATCATTGTTTTTTTAAGTCTTGATTTTGCCCTAATATTTTTAGCTGTGTCATAGAGTCATTGATTTCTGTCCTGTTTTTCAGGGAGTTCATTTCTTGGGTGAAGTTTACCACATTATTTTCTAAGCTGTTTATTCTCTTTCCGTTTCTTTCCCTGGAAGCTTTTATTTCACTTTTTCTAAGTTTTTATGTAGTCCTTCCAGAAAAATCCACTTTTTCCTTTGAAGTTATGATTGCCATTGTTACAATTACTCTCCTTTTTGTACATCTTACAATCTTTCCAGTTTTAATTCCTTAACTTGGATTTTGAGCCAGGCTCAGACCCTGCCTCTGCTTTATCTCTCTCCCTAAATCATTGAGGTTACTTTTACTGACCTCCACCTTCTAGGACCTTCTTAGTCTTGAGATTCATGGCATTGACTCTTTCGGGTCATCAGCAACATCTCGGAACAAAGTGCTAGGGAACTTGGAGACTGGCCATCTGGGCTGCTTTGGTTTTCATGCAACTTCAGCTTCCAAGGCCTTCACCCAGGGACTTTCAGGGATGGGGGGAAGTGTTGCTACCTCGAGACACATGCCTGTTAACTACACGTGTTTCTGATTGCAATGGAAAGCTACCAACTTCTTTGTCTGTACTGGTGCTGGTCTTGGCTTTACTGGTAGCCCAGCCCCCTTTCCTATTCTTATGGTTGACATTTCGTATAGTTCCGCAGCAGAAGTGGTCATTTGCTGTAGTTTTATTATTGGATTTATTCAGTCTGGTTTTGCTAAAAGTAAGTGTATATAAGCTGATCAGTCTTCATTCAGACAGTGATCTTGGCTGGAAGTCCTTGTGTAGTTTCTAATATGTCATACATAATACCTTTTAAGTTATCATGAACTCCATTAGTTGTCAAGAATGTAGGGAACCTCATTTGAAAGAGGAATCAGCAAAATACCAAACTACTAAAATAACTTCTGTCCTGAAATTATATCATTAGTGCCATCATTGAATAGAAAGACTGGGTTGTAAAGCGCCTTCAAAAAGATAGTTCGTTCACTATAGGAGTTTACTGCTAAAGGTAGGAGTACTGAGGAGACCTTCAGTTTTCTACCACCTGCTTAAGCATAGAGATATTCTTTGAATGGGGATATGTCACCATGGCTTCTAATCCACTGAGTAGATGATTAAGCTTATGTCTAGCTTGAAAATAGAACAGAGTCCAAAGAGGTTTATATATAAAGCACATCTTGCTTTGAGGTATATTTATCTCAGGAGCTTGATGTATTTCAGTGATAGTTTGAGAGAAAGCAGCTTTAAGCTAGTGCTGAGATAGAGTTAAGAAAAATTTTTCTCAGTCATTGACTTTGTAAACATCAGGCTTTATATACAAGTCCTTGGGAAACAGCCAGTTGGGATAAGGTTCAAAGATCACAGTACTGTACAAGTACATTGGAGTGATGAAAAACAAAGGTTTCATGAAGAGAATGGCATTTGAGGTGGACTTCAAGAGGATACCTTTTATATGTATATATTTTTTTTAGTTTTCAACATTCATTTCCATACGATTTTGAGTTCCAAATTTATCTTTATCTCTCCCCTTCCCCCACCTCAAGACGGACTGTAAATTGATGTAGGCTCAACATATACATTGGTATTAACCTATTTTCACATTAGTCATGTTGTGAAGAAGAATTAGCACCAATGGGAAAAATCATGAGAAAGAAGAAACCAAAAAAAGAAAGAGCAAATAATATGCTTCAATCTGCATTCAGACTCCATAATTCTTTTTTTGGATGTGGATAGCATTTTTCATTATGAGTCTTTTGGAACTGTCTTAGATCCTTGCATTGCTAAGAAGAGATAAGTCTGTCAACGTTAATCATTGTATAATGGGGCTGTTACTGTGTACAATATTCTCTTGGTTCTGTTCACTCAGCATCAGTTCATATAAGTCTTTATAGGTTTTTCTGAAGTCTGCCTGCTCATTATTTCTTATGGAACAGTAGTGTTCCATTACATTCACATACCACAACTTGTTCAGCTGTTTCCCAATTGATAGGCACCCCCTCAGTTTCCAATTCTTGGCCACCACAAAAAGAGCTGTTATAAATATTTTTGTACATGTGGTTCCCTTTCCCATTTTTATGATCTCTTTGGAATACAGACCTAGAAGTGGTATTGCTGAGTCAAAGGGTATGCACAGTTTTATAGCCTTTTGTGCATAGTTCCAAATTGAAAAGGATACCTTTATTAAGGAAATATGAACCACATGCTATGAACTTCATCTTTCCTATTCCATAGAAAGAGGAACCAAACCTTCTCATTGGCCCCTAGATCTCATCTCCAGGAATTTATCCTGTGGATCATCTCTCATCTTTAATCTATCACCTCTTTTCCTGATGCTACCTGTGTATGTAGTCAAATTTACTTCGTTCTTTAAAAACTTTCAGTTGACACATTATCCCCTGAAGTTATCATATATATTTCCTTTTCACTACTAAAGTCATAGAATTATTGGATTTCTATTATCTCCACTTTCTTATTACCTAGTCTTCAGCCCCTACTGGTCTGCCTTCTGGTCCCACCACTCTACTGAAATGATCTTGTATTTACTTAATCTGGTGGCCTTTAATCCTTATCCACTCTGACCTCTCTGGAGCTTTTATATACTGTTGACTAACCCTTTTTGGACGCTTTTCTTTGGTATTCTTCCCAAATATATACACTTTGTTGAATCATCATCTTGCCATCTTAAGATAAGTGTTTCCTAGGTCACTGTCTTCTCTCAGATAATTCCTATATACATACCCATAGCTAATCCTCGTGCTGGATTCCAGCCACAAAACTTCACCTAACTTATCAACTATCTCTTCCAGGATGTCCTCTGGCTTTGCCGCCGCAAGGTGTCAGAAGCAGAACTCATCTTCCTCCCACCTAAACTCACCCTTCTTCCAAGCTCTTCCCTCATTCTTCTGGTCACCTGTACTCATAACCTCAGAACTATCCTTAACTATTCTTTCTTCCTCACATCCAGTCTTTTTATCACATTGCCAATCTTTTTTATTCCATCTCCATGACTTATCTCTCATCTGCATCAGTTTCCCTTCTCTTGACTCCCAAAGTTCGAGTTTTCATCATCATTGGCCTCTTCCATTGTAACATCTTATTTGTCTCCCTGCTTCTAGTCTTTCCTCTCTAGTCTGTCTTCTGCACAGCCAACAATATTTCTAATATGTGTCACTTCCCCTGCTCAAAATCACCCAGGTCATCCACCCTTATTGCCTACAGGATCAAATTGAAACCCTACGTGTTTAAGACTAATATCTGAATCCATCCTCCTTTCCAGACTTATTTTGCACTACTGCCCTTCACTTGCTTTGTGTTCCAGTCATACTGGCAAATTAGCTATTACTCTTAACTTCACACTTTCTCTCGCATCTGTTCATTCTCAGTCCATTCCAATGGCTGGAACACATTGCCACCTCATCTGTGTTGAGAATTCTTCAAAGTCTCAACTCAGCTGCTACTTCCTAGGTTGAAGCTTTCCTTGATTTCTCTCCTACTCCCTCCCCAAGTTGTTTGGTGTTTTCTTTAGACTTTTTTTTTTTTTTTTTTTTTTGTATTCTACGTCTTGGTGTAAGGACCTAGAAGACAGAGATACTTTACTTCTTTATACCACTAACGCCTAGCATAGTACCTTAATAGTTTTGTTGAGAGAGATGGAAAGAGGGCACTTTTAAGTGTAAGGAGTGAACCTGGTTAGAGGAATGAAAAGAACTAGGTAGATAGCAAGGTGTAGATAAGTGTTGTAGTCAGGAAGACCGGAGTTCAAACTTGGCCTCAGACACTTAGTTGTGTGAGTCTGGGCAAGTCATCTAACCTCTATCAGTCTGACTTTGCTCATCTGTAAAATGGGGATAATAGCAACTACCTCCCAGAATTGTTGTGAGGATAAAATGAGATAATTTGTGAAGTGTTTTGCAGATCTTAAAGCCCTATATAATGCTAGCTATTGTTATTACTATTATCTTTATTATATTTTTTTCTCTTTCCATGTAGACACTCTTTCCATTTGTACCATTCACTTTCTCACACTAAAGGCAGCATGATGTAATAGAAAGCATAGAATCAGGCAGGAGCTGGAAGACCTGGATTTTTAACTTGGCTTTTCCACTTTACTAGCTGAGTGTCACAACCTTTCTTGGCCTTGATTTTCTCATCTTGCCTATTTTTTGATGATGTGAGGATCAAATGAGATAGTATATGAACACAAACTATAAATTATTCAATAATTTGCACAGAAGAAAATGGTGTATAGGGTGACCTTAGCTTCTGAATATGTATGATCTAAAAGGGCTTTGAAGCCAGTTGTTTAGCACTCAAGTCTTTTGCTATAGAGATTTTTTAAATGGTGGTGTGGTGTTAGGTCCCCAAGATAGCTAACCCATTTAGCCCACAACACAGCTGTAAAATTTATTGCCATTTGTAATGTTTATTCATGAAAACTGCTTGCAGGGTTATTCTAGAAGTAAGCAGGCAAGGGTCTTCTAACTGTATGGAGCCAACACTGAGTGGGGGGTGGGGGGAATGGGAAGTAGGAGACTAATCCATCATCACCCTTTTGATGGTATGGTTGTGTTTTGTTCTAGGACTGATAAGCTGTGCCTTATTTCTGGGTGTGAGTGGCTTATATTCCTCTAGTGATGATGTGATAGAACTGACTCCTTCCAATTTCAACCGTGAAGTTATTCAGAGTAACAGTTTGTGGCTTATAGAATTCTATGCTCCTTGGTAAGTATTTATATTATAGTTGTAAGCACTATGATATCAGTGTATTGATATATATTCAAGTATAAACTTGAGAAGATTGATAGTGGATTATTTGGTCTCTTACTTAAGGAGAGGCTTGTGGAAGATAATTGGGGGAACTGAGGAAGTTCTTAAATGGTTAAAGATATTAAAGAACATACAGAGAAAAAGTAGTAAAATGAGTGTTTATTATAGAGGAAGTATAACTGTGATATAGTGATGATACACACAGCACTTGAACTGTCTTGCATAAAAATTAATAATGGTAACTGTATTCATTATGCCCAAATGTTTATGGACAAAATAGAATCAAGAATTATTTTTTCACTCTCTTTAAGCAAATTGTTTATTAAAATATACTTTCTAGTTGTTTGTCTTATTCATCTTAATATGTGGTTGGTGTAAGTTAAAAGTAACTGGAAGATGGGTCAGCTAGGTAGTACAGTGGATAGAGCACCAGCGCTGGAGTCAGGAGGACCCGAGTTCAAATTCGGCCTTAGACCAAACACTTGACACTTACTAGCTGTGTGACCCTGGGCAAGTCACTTAACATCAACTGCCTAAAAATAAATAAATAAATAAATAAGTAACTGGAAGTTAAGGTTTTTATTTTAGATAAAAATTGATAGTTTACCCAAAACAAAGAACCTCTCCAAGGGAGGTAGAAAACATTTAATTAAAAGCTTGTCCTCAGCAGTGTAGTAGATAGAGAACTAGCCTCAGAGTTAGGAAGACTTGTATTAAAATTCCATTTCTAATATATATTATGTGGCCATAGGCAAATCGCTTAGCTTCTCATTATCCCCAGGTAATTCTCTAAATTGAAGACAGCTGCAGATCTCCAGTTGAAGGAGTTTCCTTACCAAGAAGTGTTTTGTATTAATGAAATCTTTGGTCTAGATGGAAAAAAAAGAAAAGCTTATGCTAACAAACTCTGATCACATATGTCCATTTAGTGTAACACCATAGTTGATAATCTAACTTTTTGAAGAGTGGGATGTACTTTGTAAAGGGGTCTTTTGGAATGTTTGGGGTTTTTTTTGTTGTCGGTTTTTGGGGGGTTTTTTTTTTTTTTTTTTTTTTTTGGTTTTCAGCATTTACTTCCACAAGATTTTGAATTCCAAATTTTCACACCATCTTGCCCCTCCCCCCACTCCAAGATGGCATGCATTCTAAATACCCCTTCCCCTAGTCTGCCTTCCCTTCTATCTCTCTCCCCCCCCCTTATATTATCCCCTTCCCCTTCAACTTTCCTTTAGGGCAGGATGGATTTCTGTACCCCATTTCCTGTATTTCTTATTTCCCAGTTGCCTGTGAAAACTTTTTTCTTAAACATGTGTTTTTAAAACTTTGGGTTCCAAATTTTCTCCCTTCCTCCCTCCCTACCCACCCTCATTGATAAGGCAAGCAACTAAATATAGGTTATATATGTGCAGTTATGCAAAACACTTCCATAGTAGACATGCTGTGAAAAACGAACTCTATTTCCCTTAATCCTATCCTGCCCACCTATTTATTCTATTCTTTCTTTTGACTCTGTCCTTCCTCAGAAGTATTTGCTTCTGATTACTCCCTTTCCCAGTCTGCCCTCCTCTCTATCATTCCCCTACTCTCTTGTCCTCTTCCCCCCCTATTTTCCTGTAGGGTAAGACAGATTTCCACACCCAATTGAGTGTGTATTTTATTCCCTCCTTAAGTCAAATCCTATGAGAATAAGATTCACTCATTCCCTCTCACCTTCCCCTGTTTCCCCTCCACTGTAAGAGCCTTTTCTTTTCTGTTTTTGTTTTTGGTTTTTTTGTGGGATAATTTACACTATTCTACCTCTCCCTTTCTCCTTCTCCTAGTATAATCCTCTCTCACCCCTTAACTTTATTCTCCAGATATGACCTCTTCATTTTCAACTCACCCTGTGCCCTCTGTCTATCTATATCTATATATACGTACATATAATTTTTTCCCCTCCAACTACGCTAATACTGACAAAGGTCTCATAAGTTACAAATATCATCTTTCCATGCAGGAATGTAAACAGTTCAACTTTAATAAGTCTCTTACGATTTTCTCTTTCCTGTTTACCTGTTCATGTTCCACTCGAGTCTTGTATTTGAAAATCAAATTTTCTGTTCAACTCTGGTCTTTTCATCAAGAATGCTTGAAAGTCCTCTATTTCACTGAATGACCATTTTTTCCCCTGCAGGATTATACTCAATTTTTCTGGGTAGGTGATTCTTGGTTGTAATCCTATCTCCTTTGCTCTCCGGAATATTATATTCCATGCCCTGCTGTCCCTTAATGTAGAAGCAGCTAAATCTTGTGTTATCCTGATTGTGTTTCCACAATACCTGAATTGTTTCTTTCTGGCTGCTTGTAATATTTTCTCCTTGACCTGGGAACTTGGAATTTGACTACAATATTCCAAGGAGTTTTCCTTTGGGGATCTCTTTCAGGAGGAGATTGGTGGATTCTTTCAATTTCTATTTTGCCCTCTGGTTCTAAAATATCAGGGCAGTTTTCCTTGATAATTTCTTGAAAGATGATGTCTAGGCTCTTTTTTTGATCATGGCTTTCAGATAGTCCAGTAATTTTTAAATTTTCTCTCCTGGATCTGTTTTCCAGGTCAGTTGTTTTTCCAATGAGATATTTCACAGTTTTCTAATTTTTCATTCTTTTGGATTTGTTTTATAGTGTCTTGATTTCTCATAAAGTCACTCACTAGCTTCCAATTGCTCTATTCTAATTTTTAAGGAAGTATTTTCTTCAGTAGTCTTTTGGACTTCCTTTTCCATTTGTCCACTTTTGCTCTTTGGGGCATTCTTTTCTTCATTGGCTCTTTGGACCTCTTTTGCCATTTGGGTTAGGCTATTTTTTAAGGTGTTATTTTCTTCAGTGTTTTTTTGTGTCTCCTTTAGCAAGCTGTTAACTTGCTTTTCATGATTTTCTTACATCACTCTCATTTCTGTTCCCAATTTTTCCTCTACTTCTCTTCCTTGCTTCTCAAAATCCCTTTTGAGCTCTTCCAAGGCCTGGGACTGATTCATATTTTTCTTGGAGGCTTTGGATGTAGGAGCTTTGGCTTTGTTGTCTTCTTCTGGTTGTATGTTTTGATCTTCTTTGTCACCAAAGTACGATAATACAGTCTGACTCTTTTTGCACTGCTTACTCATGAGCCCGGCCAATTACTTGAGTTTTAAAAATCTTTGTTGAGGTAAAAGTCTGCTTCCAATGTGAAGAGTGTACTGTCCCAAGCTTCGGGGGTTTGTATAGCTGTTTTCAGAGGTACTTCTAGTGATCTGTAAATTTTCAGTTCTTCCAAAGTGGTATGATAAGGGGTGAGGTGTTTTCTCTCCACCACCACAGCAAGCTCCACTGAACCAGCACTCCTCCTTGCCCCAGGACCACCCCTCAGAACTGTGACCCAGATCCAAGCACCTGTAAAGCAAGAGATTCCTGCCTCAGCACTGGCAAAGAGATCCCTGCAATTCCCCTCTCATCAGCCAGTTGATTCCCCCTCAGTCTGTGGGCCGGCAGCTCTGGAAAAAGCCATGGCCCCAGGCCGCGGTTGGGACTTGCGATTGAGACCTAGCTCCTCTTTGTCGCAGTCACAGACTTTTCCCACTGACCTTCTGAGTTGTCTTTGGCGCTCAGGGGTTGAGAAGTCTGGAAACCGCCACAGCTGCCCGCGATTCAGTCCTCTGAGGCCTGCTCCAGGGTCGCTGCAGCCTGCGCACCCACGCTGACCTGCACTCCTCTCCCTGCCCGGTGCAATATACCTTTCCAATCAACCATCCAGGCTGTCTTTGGCTGGAAATTTGTTTCACTCTGTCTTTTTGTGAGTTCTGCTGCTTTAGAATTTGTTTAGAGCCATTTTTTTAGGTATTTGGAGGGCTTTGGGAGAGAGCTCAAGACAGTCACTGCTTTCCCTCTGCCCTCTTGGCTTCGCCTCTGGGGAATGTTTGTATTATAAAAGAAAATTTAAAATGTGAATTTAAAAGTAAAAATCTCAAGTTTTTAATATTTATCAATGGAAACATTAAAATTGCTTTTTAATGAACTTGTATAATTAAAAATTTGGAAGAGTGGAAACTAGACATCAGCTGAAATACTCACAAAGTGATTTTATTTAATGAAGTAAAACAACATGGTTAATAGTTACATATAATATACATGGATTGCCCTTTTAAAGAATGTGTATTTTAATAAATCATTTGACATTGACTATGTAGTGATATAGTATTTGAGAAAGGAACATTATTGTTTTTATACAAATATAGGGGAGCTTTATGATTTCACCTTTAAAGAAACTATTTGTGTAAGTGTTTTCTTCCATGGAGTCATTTATGACTATACAAAAGTCTTAGTGCTGGAGGCAAATGGAAGTGAAGAGATTTGCCCAGAATCACATAGCTTTTAAGTGTTAGGTTCTGGAGGTGGGATTTGAACAGAGGTCCTAAAGACTGAGCCTAAGTCTAGCCACTCAGCCAAGCTGCCTTTATAATACTATTGTTAAAATAACCTACCATTTTACTGAGAAAGCGTATGTTAACAGAGATTTGAGTAATGATATCAGACTAGAGGTTTTGCTATTTACCTGTGCTGCACATTATAACATCTTGATGTGCACAGCTGATAGAATCTAACAGAGCTAGAGACATTGTGATCTTGTTTATACAAAGGTGTTTATGTAAATCACATAATTTTGTAAAAATCTGACCCTTAATGTGACTGTTTATATAGCAAAAATATATTATTGTAAATACATAAAAACCTCATCCCAAGATATATCTTTAGATATTTGGGATTTTAGATTAGTGTTGTGCTCAGTGCCTATCAATAAAGTATAATCTTGTATGTCTGGGTCAGTGATTGCAAATAACTAAAAGATTAGGATTGAAGAACACAAGTGATTCAGAGTACATTATACCATGTTTCTGGGCTGAGGTTTTGTTTTTAAATTTACAATTTTTGAAATTATTACTTATGTTACAAGTGAACATCCCATATCATTTTTCTGTTTTAAATATTATTTGACTAATGTAAACTAATTTTTAAAAGTTTAATACTCACTCTCCTCACCTCCCAAAAACCTGCTAGTTGTGAAATACCAGCCTGAAATGTATGGATTTTCAGCTCTGCTGTTCAGATTTCTAGTTCTTTGATGCTTATTCAAACCATTTAGACAGAATTTAGCATTTTTTTTATTGAAGTGTTAATCAAAAATTCCTAAAAATCGAGAGATTTAAGTAATCTAATAATTGACATGTGGTTTTCCTAACCTTCTCCCCTATCTTTTCTCCCCTTTACCTCGCCCCCATAAAGGTGTGGTCACTGCCAAAGGTTAGCACCAGAATGGAAGAAAGCAGCAACTGCGTTAAAAGTAAGTTTCAGCCATTCTCAAAGATACCTAATATGGTTTCTGTGCTTTTGCACTCAAAAATAAGCAGATTGTATGAATTTAATCTGATAGGAAACTTTGCAGTAGCTATGGATTTGGTTTTCATAGTACAATTTGAATATATTGAAATGTCAAGTCCATGTGGAATCCTTAGGAATTATATTTTGTTTTCCTTCAGCTTTTGATTATTGTTGATTTATCCCTCATTTCCTCTCACCTTATAATCCACTTGGTATTAATTCTGCCTCAAAATCTTGCATCCATACTCTCTTTTCTTGCCTGGTTTTGCTTCTCAATACCTGTTACTTGGACTTTTGCAGTAGTTTCCTAGCCATTCTCTCTAGTCTGTCTTTTTCTATTTTAATTAAAGATGTGATGAATGTAAATTAATATTCTAGTAATCCAGTTCATCCTTTATGCTCCTATTAAAGTTATCTTCCTAATGTACAAATTGAATAAATACTTTGCATGCTTCCCCATCGTCTGCAGAAAAAGAACCTCCTTAATCTAGCATGTAAGGCTGTCATAATGTAGCATCAGCCACCTTTTTGGCTTTATTTCATACTACTCCTCTTCATTTTATGTTCTCTTATCTTCCAGTTACATTGAAATACTAGCTTTTCCCTGAATTTTTTTTTCTTCCATGTTCCCAATTCCTGAAATTTATATCCCCCATACCTCCCTATACTTGTTAAACATTTTTTTTCCCTGAGGGTAGGTGCAGGTGCCACCTATTACATAAAATTAAGTTTTCCTTGATCCTTCCCTCCTTAAGTGCCTCACTTGCTGGTCCATGACCTCTCACATCATTACTTACGTACATACATACCTACATACATATTCTACTCTTGTGATGTTGTTGGGGTCAGATCTGGTTATGATACTTCCTAGCTGTGTGACTTTGGGCAAACCATTTTTTTGAGCTCTGTTTCCTGATTTATAAAACAAGGATTATTGTAATGATTGCAACACCTTCAGGGTTTTTGTGAGGAAAGTTCTTTGTAAACCTTAACCACTGACAGATCGTAACTTCTTGAGGACAGGTACTATCGTGTTTTAATCCAAGCATGTATAGCATCGTACCTTGCATATAACGGGTCTTAAGTTTATTTAACTTAATTGAGTTGTATGAACTGTAGAATCTCCTATAGCAATGTCACTTAGTTATACCAGAGGAAAATTGGAAAAATTAAAATAATGTCCAGATTTATCTCTGTGGACCTGCTTAAGGTTCCCACAACTCACTTCTGTTATGCCTACTAATCCATTTTTGGCTCCTTTCCTCATTTACTCAAGTACAGAGATCCTTTTTGATCCAGTTCTCCTATTTCTTACTCTCCTCACTCGTGGACTTTTCCACTATTTTTGATTCTGTTTTACCCCCAGAGTGGTTGCTATGGACCAGATCTCCAAATGGGTAGGGAGTGTTATCTGTGATTTAAAGATACTGATGCAGGCAAAAAATACTAATGTGGGGAGTTTTTAATATCATTATATTTAACTTAAAACCCTGATATTGGGACTTGTTTTTAAACTTTTTTTTAAGCAGTTCTGAAATTTATATGAAAAACATTTAATTATGAACAAGGTAGTGAAACCATGCTGTTGACTCTAGCCTAGGAAACCCAGAAAAAAAAGCAGGTCTTTGTGAGTGTGAGTGCAAAATAATGTTTATTTGAATTTCAACAGGATATAGTGAGAGTTGGTGCAGTTGATGCAGATAAACATCAGTCCCTAGGTGGACAATATGGAGTCCAAGGATTTCCCACTATAAAGATCTTTGGATCCAACAAAAATAGACCAGAAGATTACCAAGGTAAGAATTTATTTTCCTATATCTCCCTTTCTTCTGGCTTTGCTGTGTAGTGGTATTTCTTTGTTTCAATTTAAACCACATTTTAAATAATCATTACATTATCATTGGAAAATTTGTGGCATTAGATTGCCAAGTGCTTCCCACTTACTTGCTACTTGTGTCATTCTCAGCATGTAAGATGCACAACATATCCCTCTACTGATGCCTCTCTATATGACTACCTTGTTCCTCCTCCTACTGGGAACAGAAGGAATAGCATATGGATAAAAGGACGTCTCATTTCAAAGGCTTAGAGAGCTTACAGTCTAGACACCCACAGAGACAAGTCTAAAATATATGTGTATACGTTAAGTGCTTAACTTTCTGCCAGGAATACAATGAAGAATTGAAATATTTCTTGCCTTTTAAGAGCTTATATTCTGTTGAGTAGAAACAGATGAATTAATACAAAACATATACAGAGTAATTGGGATGAGAAGAGAAGTAGTAATTTCCAAGGGGATATGGACCTTTTTCAGGAGATGGCACTTCATCTTGTCTGTTTTTGGACATGACCATTATGGGAATTTACTCTGCTTGATTGTAAATATTTGTCACAAGGATTTTGTTTTCAGATTTCTTTCTTTCTTTCTTTCTTTCTTTTTTTAAATCTTGAGTGAGGTGAGGGTCAAGGGGTGGGGAAGATTGGAAGAGGGACAAAGTATTGCTTGATCGCTGAAAAAATGTAATAAAATTTTGAAACTGCCTTGTTCTTGTTCTTTGACCATGTATTATTGAAATGTCTCCTTTCTTCTCCCTTGTGACTTTTTCTTTTGAAAGGATAGAAAGAAAATAGGGGAAAGAACAATATTTTTCTTAGCACTTTTTACAAAAATAAAATTCATACAGTAGGCAGGATTATTATTTTTATTAATTTTTTGTCTTGTTAGAAATAGGACTTGCAAACTACTGAGCCTTAAAGAGTTTAGCATCTTGTTTTTCTACTTCAGAAAAATTACATGAAAATATAAAATCAGATAAAATATAGGGGGAAAACTAATTGGTATTATTGTTGAACAAAGCATTTGTTTTCAGAAAAGGAACTAAGTTTAAAATCTCCAGGGAATTCAGTAGTGGTAGCTAAAAGTCATCCTCACAATTGTTACCATCATTCTTACTCTTTTAAGATAAGTCTTTAAATGGACTGCCGTCCTTAAATGAAATTAGTTTATTTTACAGTCCATTAAGACAAAGTCCTTTTTATTAAACTTTAAAAGGACCTCAGTACTCTAGTCCATTGAATCTTTTTTTTTGCTTTTTGGTGAGGCAGTCGGGGTTGAGTGGCTTGCCCAGGGTCACACAGCTAGTAAGTGTTAAGTGTCTGAGGCTGGATTTGAACTCAGGTCCTCCTGACTCCAAGGCCAGAGTTCTATTCACTGCGCCACCTAGCTGCCTCTTATTCCATTGAATCTTGCTGGACTCTTGTAACCATTTTCTTCTTGAAACAGTTGGTATGAGATAGTTTTTGGAAGTATTATTTTTACTTTGCTATAGAATTTGAAGAAAGAGGTTAATTTTGTGAAATGTATCTAGTACTTTTTATAAAAGGATATTCTATGACACTAATACCCGTAGCATGTTGAATTATCAGCAAAAAAAAAAAACAGCAGCATAGTAGAACAATTTCTATTTTTAGAATCCAAGAACCTGAGTTCCGTTCCAGGCTTTGCAACTTAGGTACATGTGTGACCGTGGGCAAGTTCTTTAACTATTCTGGGCTTCAGTTTCCTAATCTGTCAAATGAGGGTCTTGGTCTAAATGATACAAAGTTTCAACTATAAATTTGTGATTCTATAAAAACAGTTTACTAAACCCTATATTCTGTTGGAGTTCCTATATTTGACAACTACTCTTGTGTTTGTTCGTCTTTCTGTAGTTATTTCAAAAACTGATTGAAATTAACCCCAGGTTTGATTCTTTCCCCCGTCCGTAAGTATTACAAATGACATGATATTCTTCAGAATTTCAAAACTTTATTACTAGACTGTAATTTTCAGTTACTGATGATGTTCTTCCCCTAAAACATACTGCTTCTATAACAATTTGGTCAGTTTTTTTGTTGATATTCAGGTGTATAGCCTAGCAGACTGGGACTCATACCTGAGTTTAGTCTCCATTTTAAGGATCATAGAATTTAAAGTTGGAATGGATCTTAGGGAAGCCAGAGGGACTTCTGTTATGGCAATGCCCTTCATAATTGTCTCCTTTTAACACCTATGAAGGTTTGTTTTGTATGAAATTTGATGAGTAGGCTCTTTAGGGATCTATTTATCATTGTATTGATAGCACTAACACTGTTGTATAATTTTCTAAATCATTTTTCCCCTAGGTTAAGTACCTGTTCTCTTCTTTTCAGAAAAGATACTAGGATAGCAATCTCTAGACGTGCTAGAGAGTTTTTAATTCCTTTTATCTAATAGCGGTAATGACTGTACCTTTAGCATATAAATATTTGTCACTTTTTGATTGACTACATCTTAAAGTAATTGACATAAGGGAAATCCTGATTGCACATGCTTTTGTTGTCATCACTGTTAAAACTGCGGACAAAGACTACAAAAAAAAAATGAAGCGATGGGTCATTACAACATTGAATAAGCAGAATGATTTTAAAATCGGGACTATCTGTACTTTTTATATTAGAAAGCAATTTAGTGACACTGCAGCTAGTCAATTTTCAAGTTGTCAGAAGGATACCCGCTTGTTTTTATGTGATCCATGACCATTACATTTGTTTTCCTTTTAGGTGGTAGAACTGGTGAAGCTATTGTAGATGCTGCTCTTAATTCTTTACGACAACTAGTAAAGGAACGCCTTGGTGGAAGAAGTGGTGGATATAGTTCTGTAAGGCTTTCTTATTATTTTCGGTAACTTTAAAAATAGTTTTATTGATGCTATTTTGTTTTTACATCAGTCACTTCCAGAGAGTTCTTCATCTCCTCCCTCACTAAACCAACCCCTCATTCCTTGTTAGTTTTTCTGTATTCCAAAAAAAACAAACAAACACTACTTGTATTGACACTGTGTTGCATGAATACGTTTCTGAGTCTTATCTTGTTAATACTACTCTTTACAGATTTAGCAATACTACATGTCAACCATATTTAACAGCATATTCAATATTCCACACCCATAGTCTCCATCCATCAGAAGTTCGGGGTGCATTTCCTCATCTCCTCTGACTCTAATATCAGTCAAAATAAGTGTTCAAGGTTCCAGGTTTTAGCTTCGTTTGTTTCATACACGTTGTTGTGGTCATGGTGTTTGTTGTTTTTCTACTCATTTCATTTTGGGTCACTTCGTCTAGGTCTTCTGTGTTTCTTTAAATTCCTCATTCCTCACTTCTTAGACTGAAATTATATCCCACTACATTCATACCTCACAGTTCATCTAACCAAAGATGGGTAACCATTTAATTTTTAAAATGTCTTTGTGAGAGTATTGAAACTTCAGCTCCTAGTATGTGTGGAAGAGTATTGTGTGTATACATTTCTAAGAGAGTATATGTGTGGTTACTCTAAAAATCATATTCCATTAAGTTTTTAAACACTGGAAAACCTTTTGTTTTTTATTCATTTTGCACTGGAATGACAGAAACTAATCCAAAGCTTTCAGGAGTATGTGAACATTTCTTAACTTTAGATATGGAATTATATCCAGTGCCCTAAATCTTACTCCCAGGTTATAACTAAAGTTCAGATGTATTTTAATTACAGAGTCGAAGTGAAGGTTCAGGCAAGAAGGATGTGATTGAACTAACAGATGACACTTTTGATAAAAATGTGCTTGACAGTGATGATGTTTGGTTGGTGGAGTTTTATGCTCCTTGGTGTGGACACTGCAAAAAGTAAGTTGGACAGTTGGTTTTTACCCTCTTTTTGTTTCATGTTTATTTTAATCTACTCACTAGCTCAGGTCTAAAATTTCTTACATAAATAAATTTAGAACTATAGTGATAGAGAACGAAGTGTATCATCAGACTTTCAAACATTAGCCAGCAAAATGGATCTGGGGTATATAGGGAGTGGCATGGCACATAGATATTTATGGAATGTGGAACTTGGAGGAAAAAGAATACACTTAATGCATTTTTGTTTTGTATGTCTCATGTTTTCTTTCAGGGGACTTAGAAAATAGGGTTTTATCTGAGGGAAAGCATAACTTAAAAGGTTCAAGATCTGCCCCATCTGAATTTTATAAAAAGAGAATATAAAAAAAATATATTATTGCTAATTATTGAGGTGTAATCTAAAGATACTTTATTCTTCCAATAGCTTAGAACCAGAATGGGCAGCTGCAGCCACAGAAGTAAAGGAACAGACAAAAGGAAAGGTGAAGCTAGCTGCTGTAGATGCTACAGTAAATCAGGCATTGACTAGCCGATATGGGGTAAGTATGTTTTAAATTTAAGGCTGATTACAGAATCATTAAATATTAAGCATTCAGAAGGACCTTTAAAACCATGTAGTCCTGGGGCAGCTAGGTGGTGCAGTGAAAAGAGCACCAGTCCTGGAGTCAGGAGCACCTGAGTTCAAATCTGGCTTCAGACCAGGCACTTGACACTTATTAGCTATGTGACCCTGGACAAGTCAGTTAACCCCAATTGCCTTAAAAAAAAAAGTCTAAATCCTTCATTTTAAGGGTGAAGAAACTGAAACCTAAAGATGGCATGATGTTCCCTGCTAATAAGAGCTGAGACTTGAAATCCAAGTCTTCTAACTCAAGTCTAGTACTTTCACAATTCTTCCCTTCAACTTTACTTTTTATGTATCATATTTGCAAATGAAAGATGGGAAAATATCTGCAAAGGTGATCTTTTGTTTTTAAGTAAATCATCACTGATAACTTTTGTTTTTACATCACTACATTCAGGAAGGCCTTTCAGCAAGTTGGGTGGAGGCCCCATGTCTAATTTGTGGGAAGATGTGAACAAGAGTTGAATGGATGGGTTAACCTATATTGTTGAAAGGGATATTCATGTTGATAAAATCACAAAGTCATTGATCTGTTGGAATATTTACTTCGGTAAATATTCCCCTTATCCTGACTGGGAGATTTTTTTTCTAGTACCGTCACCTATCATTTACAGTGCTTTTACACCAGTCCAGCAGAACCTGCCTTTAGTCCACAGCACTTGAAGTTCAGGGCTTTCTCAGCTTTCTTCTATCCTGTCTCCACACACGGAATTACTGAATAGAAATTCCTTCTACAGTATCCCTAACTAGTCATTTAGCCATTGCTTGAAAACCTGTAGTGAGAGGGGTATCTTACAGTGACATCAAAGCCCTTTTGATTTTGGGATATCTCTAATTTTTTGCATATTTAACCTAAATTTACCTCTTTGAAATTTATCTCCATTGTTCCTAGTTCTGTCTCTTAGGCCAAGCAGAATAAATCTAATCTCACCCCCAACAGACAGCCCATAAGATACTTAAAGATAAATATATGTCTCCCCATTAGGCTGTACACCAAGTTCTTCTAGTCTTCATGTATCATGAATTTGAAGCTCTTCACCATCTTGGCTTCCTTATTGGATGTTATATAACTTATTAATGTCCTTTTTATGTTGCCCAGAATTGAACACAGCACTGTTTGTGATTTGACCAAGCCATGCCTCTTTAGTTTTATTTGGCCAATGCAGCATACTGTTGACTCATTAAGCTTGCAGTCCAACAAACTGCAAGTCTTTTTCTGACAAATTGCTGTGTAACCATGCCTTTTCCACTTTCATCGACGTGGCACAATGCATAGAGTGCTGGAAGAGCTGAGTTCAAATCCGGCATCAGACTTACTAGCTCTGTGACCCTAGGCAAACAACTTAATCTCTGCCTGCCTCAGTTTCCTAAACTGTAAAATGAGGATTATAACAACACCTATCTCACAGAGTTGTGAGGATCAAATGAGAAAATATCTAGAAAATGCTTAGCACAGTACCTGGTACATAGTAGGCACTTAATAAATATTTGTTTCCTTCCTTTTAGCTAACTAATAAATTTATACAGCACAGGGCCAACCAAGCACAAATTCCTGGGGCACTCCACTGATGACCTCCATCCAACTTAATATTGAACAATTACCCCTGCTCTAGCCATTCACCAGTTCCAAATCTCTATAATTGTTATATCATTTAGCTAAATCTCTTCTATCATTTCCATAAGAATTTCATGAGACTTTATCAGAGTAAACACTATGGGCAGCATGCTCTGAGCTCTGTATTGATTAGCCTTCTCAGAAGAAGGATATAAGGTTAGTCTGAGATGCCTTCTGACCCACAAAGAGTTGGAAATTAATGAGGAATTAGAAACTGAAAATTCAGCAGTTAAAATAGGTTAATTAACCGTGTCAGATAGTATGTCAGCTAAGGTTTCTAACATAATCCTTAATGGTTTTCTCAAGGCCTGACTTGACCCATGATTGTCTCTAGACCTAAACTCACCCACAGTCTCATTTTTTGATCTTCATGCAACCTAATGCTCAGCAGCACTACTAGCCAATTCAGAAGCCTTTTAATTGAATGGCAATATTGTGGTGCCTCACTCATATTGCTACTCTTAAACACTTAGCTGGGGCAGCTAGGTGATGTAGTGGATGGGGCACTGGCCCTGAGGTCAGGAGGATCTGCGTTCAAATCCAGCCGCAGACACATAACACTCACTAGCTGTGTGACTCTGAGCAAGTCACTTAACCCCAATTGCCTCATCAGAAAAATAAATAAATTTAATCACTTAGCTAAAAAGTTATCTTTTCTGCTCATTTGGAAAAGGAAACAAAGCTCTATAGGATAGTAGGTTTTTAGAGATGGAAGGAAACCTAAAGATCATCTGATCTAACCACTTCATTGTATAGATTAAGAAGATTCAGATGGGTCAAATGACTTGACCAAAATCATACTATATAAAATTTTTGCCTGTCACCTCAAAAATCAAAGTGATTTAATCCCACAGACATTACTCCCAGAATTCAAAAAAGACTCCCTTTTTCCTTACAGAATGTTAATTGAAAATTGGGTTAATCTCTCTCTTCCTACCCTGTCCCCCCTCAAATTTTGAGCTAGACTTGCTGCCAGAAGGAGTGGTTAAGTCAAATTGTCATAACTAGCATAGGAAAAAGTCAATATAAAGGAACAGTTAGCTGCTTGGCAGTGGTGGGGGATGGAGTGAGCTTGAGTTTGTTAGCATTTCTCTTCTTTTATGTCTAGGTATTTAGGGAGTTAGGCACCTCTTATATTATCTCTCCTTGACCCTGTTTCCAGGTTATTGTCTTAGATATCAGATATTCTCCTATTTTTTCAATCTTGATTTTGTCCTAATTATTTCATACTGTCTGATGGAGTCATTGACTTCTATGTCATTTATTTCTAATTTTCAGGGAGTCCTTTACTTGTATCAGGCTTACGGTGTTCTCTCCTAAATTATGTATTCTCCTTCTAAGAACTTTTATTTCATTTTTTACCTTTTTTGCTGCACTTTTAGGCTTTCATGTATGTAGTCTTTGTAGAAAATCTTTTTTTTTTCCTTTGAGTCTCTGCTTGCAGTTGTTATAGTTATTTCTCCTTTTGCAGAACTCTAGTCTTACACTAATTTTTTTTATATTGGTCAGTGTTTTTATTTGATTTACGCTTTTCTTCAACTGTAGTTAATGAATTGGGGTTTTGTGCTAGGACCATACTTCTCTCCCTGCTGCACTTTTAGGTAGGGTGGTGGACCCTGTTCTCAATATAGCTTTATTCCTGGCCACCTGCTGGGGTTAGGGCTGTGCCCTAAGACACACACACTAGCCTTGAGGTTCAGAGAACCAGATCTTGAGGGTTCTCTCTGGTATCTCAGGACAGAATGCTCAGGACTCGGGCTTTCCTCATCTGGTCACTTCCTTCTGTTGCTCTCTGGGTTTTCTGTTAGCCCAGGAGCTTTCTCAGGGGAGCCCTCAGCTTTTGGCTGCCTTCAGACACATAGCCTTAAAGGCTACATTTGTCCCTGGCCCTTCTGTGATCATTGAAAGCTACCCTGTACTAGACCTAGTTTTGCTAGCAGGGTCCCCTTTTCTGTTAATGGACTGGTTTATTTATTTATTTGCTTGTTTGTTTGTTTCTTTCTTTCTTTCTTTCTTTATTGGTGAGGTTCTGGAATGGAAAAAGTCAGTGTCATTTTCTCATTGGATTTCTTGATCATTGTTCAGTTTGTTGTGAACTTCTGGGTTTTGCTGGATTTAGGTATCCAGGGGCTAAGCAGTTTGCCTCTCATTCAAGCAGTCATCTTTCCCAGAAGTTCAGCGCTTCTTTCTGTTCTTCCTCACTCTGTGCAGTGGGCAGATTTAGGAAGTGACTCAGGAGTCCCAACACCTTTCATATGTATGGCTGCTGGCGTTTCTTAGAAACTTGAGGAATTACCAAAGGAAAGAAAGAAAACTAGAAGATCTAGGTTCTAATGACCTTTACCACTGATTAATGCGTAGTCTCAGGTAAATTGCTGTTCTTTAGTCAAAAGTAAGAAACTCAAAGATAGATGAAACTTGTTGAGGGTAAGATTGAATCAAATATTTATTTAAATCTTCCTTTTACATATGAAAATCCTGAGGAAAATATGGGCGATCTAATAATGGTTAAATAATATTCCTATTTTTCCTGATTTCAGTGTATTACATTGAAACGGCAAGCAGCCTTAGGACCACTATTACTTCTCAGCTCCTCTGTGTACATGTGAAAGTTGATGAAATGGTAGATGGTTCAGCACAATTAATTGCCAGTATTGAAGTCCCTAAACTTAAAAAAAAAAATTCAGGTCAATTTTTATATAACAGAGACAGTATATAGCAGATACATTGGTACAAATACATTGATTTGAAATACATTGGTACAAATATCCTACTATTTGTTTATGTCTGACTTTTTAGTGGAAGGAGTAAAATTCTCAGGGAGGCTTCTTATTAAAATCTAGGGCCCAAGTAGTTTTTAATTAACATGAGCATTAAGATTTGTATAGAGGATACTGATGATTGTGAACAGCTTTGATTTGTACTTAGAAATAGATGTGTGGGGGCAGGTAGGTGGTGCAGTGGATAGAGCATGGGCCCTGGATTCAGGAGGACCTGAGTTCAAATCCGGCCTCAGACACATAATACTTACTAGCTATGTGACCCTGAGCAAGTCACTTAACCCCATTGCCTAGCCAAAAAAAGAAAAGAAAGAAAGAAATGAATGTGTGTTTTGTAGACCTGCTTTGTCCCACACCCCCATTTCCCTCACCTGTGCATGTAGATGCTTTCAAATACATGAATCAGTAGTTGAGTTTTGAGGACTATAATTTAATTGATTTATTCAATTATTTAAATTGTTATTATATTCAATTATTATTGAAAATTCCAAAGGAAAAAAAAAGCTTAGTTGAGCCTGAAGGAAGTCATACCCAAGAAAAGAACAATTTAGATTGAATCATAGCAGTATGAGATTTCTAATATATTGCTCCTTTGTGGATTCTTTGATATAGAAACAAAATGAAGGTAAAAAACTGGTTCCTTTTTTCTTTTAGTGAGTTAAAAGCAGTTTTAGAAATGGTGAAAAGCAATTTTATCTTATTCTGGTTAAAGAAATAATATTCTGCATTTCATTATAGATTGGAGGATTTCCCACAATCAAGATTTTCCAGAAAGGAGAACCACCTATGGATTACAGTGGTGGGAGGACAAGATCTGACATAGTTTCCAGAGCTCTAGATTTATTTTCTGATAATGCCCCACCACCTGAGCTCCTTGAGGTATGTCACTTTTTTAAAAATTCTACCTCAGTTTATTAATACAGAATATTTATACTAGCTTCCTTATTTCCATTGAGGACATCAATATTTTCTCTCATTGTGCAAGTTTGCAATCTCACTCTCAACTTGGCACTTTCCTTCCCCTATATTCAGTTATTTGGCAAATCCTGTCAGTCCTGTATACATAACATCTCCCATATCTATCCCTTCCTCTCAACTCACAAATCTACTGCCCAAGTTCAGGTGCACATCCCCTCTTCTCTGAACTGTTGGAGTAGTCTCCTAATTGATCTCCATGTCTTCAGTATCCCTTCTGTAACGTATCTTTTGCACAGCTGCCAAATTGTTATTTCTCAAGCATAGTTCTGATTATGCCATTCTCCTGTTCAAAAAGCTTCATTGGCTCCTATTTTTCCAAAATGATTCTACATTACCACTCCTTAGGCATATTATGTATTCTGACCAAACTAACCTACTTGCTGCTTGCTATCTGTGACATTTTCCACTCCTGCCTCCATGGTTTTGTACAGATTGTCTTCTATACCTAGAATACTTTGCTTCCCATTTCTGTCTCATTGAATCCTTAGTTTCCTTCATATTACAGCTGAAGTACTACCTCCTACATCAGGCCTGTGCAAGCCCCTTGCGGCACACCAAAGAATTTCTTCCACTTAACAAAGGATGTTTTTCTCTGTGTTTTTTGTGGACCACCCAGAATCCTTTGGCATGCCACAAGCTGTAAGTGGCCCACAGGCCACAGGTTGTACAGGCCTGTCCTACGTGAACCTTTTTTTATTTATTTACTCCAGTTGTTAGTGCTCCCTCACACCCTTTGAAATTACTTCTTCATTGGGGGCAGCTAGGTGGTGCAGTGGATAGAGCTCCAGCCTTGGAGTCAGGAGGACCTGAGTTCAAATCCAGCCTCAGACACATAGCACTCACTAGCTGTGTGACCCTGGGCAAGTCACTTATTTGCCTTATTTAAAAAAAAAAAAAAAAGAAATTGCTGCTTCATTGATTCTCAGTTTTCTATTTCTCTGTGTATTTGTTGTTGTTCCTCAATAGAACATCTCCTTAAGGGCAAGGACTATTTTGTTTTCTTCCTAGCATAGTGCCCAGCACATAGTAGGTACTCATATGTTTGCTTGGTAAATTGAAATGTTGAAGGAAGTTGCCATACAAAGTACTTTTAATGCTGAAGAAATTACTTTCTAAACTGGTATGTGGAGAATATGAAATTGACTTAAGTACACTTAGATTGTTTCCTTTTCTTTTTATTTTTAACTGGCTCTTAGCCTTTTTGACAAACAACTGTGTTCCACGGCTCTTAGGTGCACAGTCTTTTTTTGAATGCTTCATTTCTCTTTTCTACACTAAAATAATTGATAAGAACAAGAATGTACCAAAAGATCATAAATATAACATTTTATTGGGTTTTGTATGAGCATCATTGTTAGATACATTCCTTAAAGTGGTGAAAGAATTTAACATATAATAACAAATGATGGGTTGCCCTTTGAATAATTTATGAAATTCACAATAGTGAGTTTTTCTTTTTATTTCTTGGCTGTTCATCTTGGACCTTCCTAAATATTAACTGCTGGCTTCCATATTATTATTCACAGATTGTTGATGAAGCAGTGGCAAAGAAAACTTGTGAAGACCACCAGCTCTGTGTAGTTGCTGTATTGCCTCATATCCTTGATACTGGTAAGAGAAACAGAAGTTCATGTTTCATCAGTTTTTCTTCTGATACTAACGTATCCTGTAGATAGCTTTTAAGTAGAGAGAGAAAAATTGCTCCTTCTCTAACTCAAATTTTGTCTGTCTAAAACAGGAGCAGCAGGCAGAAAGTCTTACTTAGAAGTTCTACTAAAGTTGGCAGAAAAATACAAAAAGAAATTGTGGGGGTAAGTTATTGAGCATTTTATCTTAATAGTTTTCACATTTCAGAAGGTATAGGACTTCTGGACATTGTCTTCCCATTAGGTATCTGGAATAGTTAAGATCTTATTGTTTCTTGTAGTGTTTTAAATCTGTCTTTAGAAAGTGCGTACTGTATGTGTGAGATATACTAGAATATTTTCCAGTAAATATAGGAGTGAAACAAGGATGTCCACTCTCCCTACTACTAGACGATTAATAGCTTCAGCAAACTTGCAGGCAACAGAATAAATGAGCAAAAAAATAAAAAGTGCATGCTCCCATTAAATGACCTTAGGATTATGCAGAACATGTAGGATGATTATTAAATAGAAAAGGTGAAGGTGTCCAGTGGACCCAGGTTTTAACACAAAACATAAAGCTATGTGATTCTTCTCAATCCCTAACTCCAAGGAGATGGTAGTGGTGGTAGTTGTCAATAGAGGTAGAAATCAATTTACCCATTAAATAAAAGAGTTTAAGTTGAGAAGCAGGTTGATTGGGCTTAAGGAGGAATCTCTTGACTGAGTGAAAGGCTTCTAAAGAAGAGAAGATGATAGAATCTATCTTCTGTAGATCTTTGTGAGACTAGACAAGCTTTATGAATGATAATCCTGTTTTGTGGATATTATGATTTCCACAAAAAAAAGGCAAGATTGTATAGTGAGGAAAGTTTTGAGTTTGAAAGCTGAAGGTTGAGTCCTTGTTCTGACATTTAGCAGGCATGTTACCAGCAACAAATCAGTTAACTATTTTAAGCTTCAATTTTTTATTAGTAAAATGAGCTTAGGAATACTGACACCACTTATTTCTTGTCAGCATTGAAGAGATATATAAAGGATTTTGGTAATCCCATAAGCATTCATTTTTCTTTGTACAGCAGTAGACTGTGTTTACATAGTACTCTAAATTTTACAAAGTATATTCCTTATACCCTATGTCCTGTGAGGTAAAATAATAAGTAGTAGTATCATTCATATGTAAATGCAGTCCTATATCTCTTCCCTTTCAGGGCTGTTCTCCTTGAGAAAGCTATCTATAATCAGTTCTTCTATTTCTTTCTTCTCACTCGCTGTAACTGTCTGTAGTCACTGCCAGCCTTGACATTTAATTGAAAATTGCTCTCTCCAAAATTACTAATGATCTCGTAATCTAAGGGCCTTTTCCCATTTTTCACATTTTCATGGTGCTTCTCGGACCTGGTTCTCGTAACCTGATTGCTCTTTTTCAGTCTTCTTTGCCGTATCTTCTTCCAAGTCACAGCTTCAAAGCTCTATCCGGATCTTCTCTTCTCCCTCTATATACTGTTTCACTTGGTGATCTCATCAGTTCCCATGGATTCAGTTATTGTTTCTGTGCTGGTGATTTTCAGATCAATTTTTCTAGCCCTAACCCATCTCCTAACCTATGGTCTCTTACCTCCGACTGCTTAACAGACATCTCAAATTGGATGTTTTATAGACATCTTTAACTGAACATGTCAGAAACTAAACTCATTATCTTTCCCACCCACACCTTCCCCTCTTGTTAGTTTCCCTATTATTGTTAAGAGCATCACCATCTTCCCAGGCCCTGATAAATACTGGCCTTCAAGCAAAGAAAATGGGAATGTCACTATTAGGGTAGTTGAAAAAAGTACCATCTCATCAAAAGGAAATTTGTACATCAAAGGACATTTGCTACCCATTCAAAACACCTCTTTGTTATGGGAAATCTGTAATTAACAGAATTTTAAAGAATGTGATTTGCCATAACCTTCTGTCCTTCCATTTATTCCTATGTTTTCCCCTCCCCACCAAACCTATTCACCTTCTTCCCTACAGTCTCCATTCACCTGCCTCCTTCATTGCACACATTTTCTTCCCTTCAAGATCTTGACCCTTAGCTAACCAGTTCAACTTTTTATACTGTCTTCAGTCCCTAGCCCCATTTCCTGTCTGCCATTTATCCCTTTTCAAACTCCACCTTGGATTACTCTTATCTATTTTCTCCATTCCTGTTTGAAAGCTGCTACTGAAGAAAGACTCACAGTCATGTTGATTGGGTCAACCACAAATTGGTTTTCTGTTCTCAACTGGGCACTCACTGTTGCATGCAGTCATTTTATTCATCCCTGATGTCCCCATTTCTGTCAAGTAGGCCACCATTTTTCCAGCCACCCAGGTTCAAAATCTTAATGTCATTCTTGATTCTTCGTTCTCTGTCACCCCCTGTATCTGGTAAGTTACCAAGTTTTGTTGACTCCATCTTAACATCTCTCACATCTGTCTGCTTCTCTCAACTTGCAGCACAACCATCCTGACTTAAGTTTTAATCACCTCTTGCCTAGACTATTGTAATAGCCTTCTAACCGTTTTTCTTGTATCCAGTCTCTTCTCTTTCCAAAACACTCTCTAAAGCTGCCAAATTGCTGTACCTAATGTGCACCATATCACTGGATAAAATACAGACTTCACTTAGGGCATGTAAAGCCCCGTAGAGTCTGGCTTTAGACTATCTTTTATTTGTATAAATTATATACTGTTACCCTGCAGACACTACACTCCAGACAAACCATCCTTCTTGCTGTTCCCCATATATGACATTCTGCCTCATACTTCTGTGGGTTTGCACAGTCAAGTCCACATGCCTAGAATGGTCTTCCTTCTTGCCTCTGCCTCTTGAAATCTCTTGTTCCCTTCAAAGCTCCGTTCAGATGCTACTCAAGAGACCTTTTCTGATTTCCTCAATTTTGTATTTATTTTTAATATATCCTATATTTACTTATCTTTGTATATTTCATATTTTATCTCCTCTTTTATATGTGGAAATGATATTTTGGGGGTGGAGAAATGACCAATCTTTTATTCTTAACTTGAGGTCAATTAATAGTATAATGAGTACCCTGAGAAATTATAAAAATATTCTTTTCTAGATGGCTGTGGACAGAAGCTGGAGCTCAGCATGAGCTTGAAACTGCGTTGGGAATTGGAGGTTTTGGGTACCCTGCAATGGCAGCTGTCAATACACGGAAGATGAAATTTGCTCTTTTGAAAGGTTCTTTCAGTGAGCAAGGAATTAATGAGTTTCTTAGGTAAGTGGGGGGCATGGTGCATAGAAGGCTTTGAAGTTAAAATGAGCTTTGAGATACGCTAATTTTGTAGGTGACTGAAATAAGCTTTTCAACCCACATTTAAATTAGTTGGTGCTTTAATTTGCTCCATTTTTGATGGCCTTTTTCTCTTAAATAATATTGATAATTCTAAAGTGGTAAATATTAGGGGGGCAGCCAGGTGTCACAGTGGGGTAGTCAGGAAGACCTGAGTTCAAATCCAGCCTCAGACACTTACTAGCTGTGTGACCTTGGGAAAGTCACTTAGCCAGTTTTCCTCAGTTTCCTCCACTGTAAAATAGGTATAAGAATAGCATCCTTCATCACTGTTGATTGTGGGGCTTATGAGACAATACTTGTAAATTGCTTAGCACAATGTCTGACATAGTAGGCATTATATAAATGCTAACTTTTCATTACCATTTTAGCATTATTAATGATAATATATAATAATTGTGCTTTATATTGAATCTTTTCATAGTCACAAAGTTACCAGACTTTCTGTTCCAGCCTTAGAAACAGGTTTTGTTTTTATTTTATTTTTGTTTTCTAAAGACATTTTTAGCCATAAGCAAAGTTATTATGAACCAGGGATCCAGAAGGGCCAGAGCTGGCTAATCAAGATTCCACTGTAGTTGGCTTTGGACTCTAGTTATTTGAACACAGGTGTGTCTGACCAGGGAATTCACAGTTCTTCAAATAACATAATAAATCCACTCTAGGAAGTGTTAAAAAGTTTACTTGCTTTCCTATCCTTGTTCTCTGCTCATATCCGTGCTTTCCACAGTATACTGGAATTTGACCTTGTCCCTTATTTTGAGAAAAATAGCCATCCCCTAACTCCCAGCCTAAAGAGAAGCAGCCTTCCATAAGATTCAGCCTTTACTTCTCAGTTACATCTTCTCTGAGGTAGGGCAAGTAATTGTCTAATTGAAAAAATCTACCATCTTATCTCCACGTCTGGGTACAAAGTAGATACTTAATTAAAATGGTGACAATCAGAGGACTTAGCCTAGCAGCTTACTAATATCCATAAGAAATTGAAAGCCAGATTTTACCAAATTGTGTGTTAGCTGAGCATGGATAATTAAGAGTTCACCCTACCTCTGAATATGTGAAGAAATCTTTAGAGTATATAGAGTGTTTTCAGACAAGTATAATAAAAATACATGTTCCGTAATTTTAAAAAAAGATGAAATTAAAATTTAGATGGAATAGACATGAATGGTCAAATCATTGGTTTAGTTTTCATTTAGTAACCAAGAGAAGCAGTATGGCATAGTAGATAGATATCTGGCCTTGAGGCTAAATCCTATCTCCAACACCTACCTGCTGTGTCACCCTAGGCAGGTCACTTAACCTCTCAGTGTTTTAGGCAAATCTGTAAGTAAGGGAAAAGATACTGATCTCAGTTAGTAGAGGTGGTTTCCTCATCTGGGGGTGTTCTTTGTACTGATGAAATCATTGATCTATATCCTGTCATATCATTTAGTAAAATAGTGCATTACAAAAAAACTTTCTTTTCACAGTGCTTCCCTGGAAGCCTTTAATGTTCAGAAAATAGTTGTTGGGAAAGCTGTACAGCCCACCTGGGCATAGTGATTAGGCCCTACTGCTCATCACCAGATATTCTCCCTGGGCCCTAGGGTAGGGGGAAATCATTATAAGGATCACATTTTTGTCTCTCTCTTAAAAACCTAATATAAATTTTTATGCTCCTCAGAAACATTTCAGATTTGTAACTTAGTTTTTATGGGATTAAAATGCCATGAGTAATCTAGTTTTGTGTTTTCAGGGAGCCAAGTTAGTGACATATTCTCATATAGTGTATATCTAATATGGCTACTTTAATGATGTTGCCATATCTAAAATATGGAAGAAGGGATATCAGCTTCTTGGTTTTTAAAAGTTATTTTCATCTTTAAAGGAGTTGGACTAGATAATCTCTAAAATCACTTTTAGCTTTAAAACTTTATGCTTCTACAAGGGTAGCAAAGCATACTTTTTTTTATAATTAAAAGCGTTAGATGGGGGCAGCTAGGTGGCGCAATGCATAGAGCACCGGCCGTGAAGTCAGAAGAACCTGAGTTCAAATGTGCCCTCTGGTCTCTGGCCTCAGACACATAACACTCACTAGCTGTGTGACCCTGGGCAAGTCACTTAACCCTGTTGCCTAAACCAAAAAAAAAAAAAAAAAAGCATCTGACAAATGTTTTGGTTTCCCCACTATATTGTCTAACAAAAATAAGAGATTGAATTGATGTCTGATTGTTATGAGCATGTGGGAGACTGCAATGTACAGAAATTGGCTTGAGCCAATAGCTTATCTTTTCTCAAATTACTTGTGGAATTTGAATAAGAATAAATTGTGTGCTTTTTGTAGGGAAGGAAGTATAATACCTAATCTTTGTAAACCTGGATGCAACCAGTTAGAAGCTTCTAGTAGTATAAAATTGAATCAAAAAAAAAAAAAGATTAAATCTCTACCCCCGGACCCTTTTGTCTACTTTAGCATTCTACTAGTTCCTTCCCTGCTGCCTCTAAACAAACCCAAGTCTATCCTATCCTTAGCTAATCTTTACTACTTACTACATTCCACCATGACCACAAGATATTATCCTCTAGTTCTCCTTTATTTCTCAAACTACTTGAAAAAACTTTCTACACTTGTTGGCTTCACTTGTTCTTTCATTTTTCTCTCATTTGCTTCTAAACTTAATTCAGTCTGGATTCCTGCCTTGTCACTCAACCTAAATTGGCCTATCTCAGTCTTCATCCTTTTTTCACTTCTGCGCTCTGCAACATTACAAATTTTAACAGCCCTCTCTTCCTGGGTACTGTTTTCCTTTGGGTTTTCATAACACTTCTCTATCTTTGTTCTGTTTCTTCTCAATCTCTTTTACAGTATCATCAGGTATAATACTCCACATATAACTATAGGTATGCCCCAGGGTTCTGTCCTGGGCCCTTTTATCTAATGGTCTTTCGTGATCCCATTCTCATAAATGGGTTTAATTGTCATCTATGATGATGAATCCAAATCTGTATTTCTTATCCTAGTCTCCTCTGGGTTATAGTCCTGAATTGTTAGCTGCCTGTTGGGTGTCCCATAGATATCACCAACTCGAGCATTTTTTTTTCCTGAAATTGCAAGTGGATAGTAAAGAATGAAGTTTCTCTTTAAGAGTTTATATGTCTTGGATCCCATTTAGCAGTCTGATGCCTATGGACCCCTTCTCAGGATAGTGTTTTGAAATATGAAAGAATTGCTAAATTTCAGTTAGAGGTTAGTGAAAATAAAGATTTAATTTTTCCCCTGTCCAGTTTCACAAGCCTACCTTCTCTTCCTGACTTTCATCACCCCACTCCACCCCCAAAAAAAATTTATCCACAGACCTTTTCAAGAGTCTCTGTATCCAGATTCTAAAGCAGCAATTTTTCAAGTATGGTCAGAAGAGGCCCTAAAACCAAAAAGTTTGATAACTGCTGATTTATAGCAGCTTTAGTTCTGTAGGAACCATAGTAATACTAACTTTAAAGTAGTAAGCTCCTCTAGGAAAGAAAATTAATGAACTACCTCCAAAATTTATTTGAATTGATCTGTTATATAATTGTGCATCTATAATAGTGTAATGTAAAGAGCCCTGGATTTTGAGTCAGGTGAACTAGATCCCAATCTTAACACTTAACTTGCTTTCCTCATCTATAAAATGAGGAGATTCTCTGATTTATCTCACCTTGTCATATTTTTGCCAATGAATACAAATTGCTGAGAAACAGACTTTGTCAGAAATAGATTAGAGCTGTGGTTCTTTTGGTAGAGATGACTTTGCTAATGAGATCTTCATTCTATTCATACATTCAGATTTATTCATTTTCACCAGTTGAACCTTCTAATACTCAATACTTCAGAACATTTTTGTGGGGAATGATAGATAAAACATGCCTGAGTAGCAATAAGGACCATGACTATTATTCATATTTTAACCCTACTCAGTTTGATCTAGAGTTTTCATTAAGTGCCTTCTCTTAGGATGGGATCGCTCTGGTCTGTGAAAGAGGAGAGACACACACAGTTTCTCACTCAGTATGTGCAAAGTTAATGTCTAGTACAGGAGCCCTTAAGAAAGATTGCATGTGATAACAAAAAGTAGATACATAAAAGTCAATTCCTAGCAGATTCTTTTAAGGTTTGGATTTTATTGAAATCTCTGGAAACATTCCTCCAAATCACTAGCTTATTATATTGATGGAATAATTAAGGCTAAAATTACAAAAACCCTTGTTAATTGACTGGATTTACTTACATTTCAAAAAAGCATGTTAAAGAAATTAAAATGGCTACAGATATTGTCATAGTACATAGTGGTTAAAGTGATAATAAAAAGCTGGCATTTACATAGTGCTTTAAGGTTTGCAAAATGCTTTAACAATAGTTAACATGTATGTAGCACTTAACTATGTGGCAACAATTTTGAAATGCTATAAGGATTAGTTCAGTGATAAACCATGAATCCAGACTATTGAAGATGAATCACATGCCTTCATCCTGACAGAGAAGCAGTGGACAAAGGCATGGGAAAGGAATAAGCATTTATATGCCTACTAGGAGCTTAGCACTTTTTACCATATACTATCTTATTTGATCTTCACAACAACCCTGCAAGGGTAAGTACTGTTACAAATGAGGGACCTGAGACAAACAGAGGTTAAGCGATTTGCCCAGGGTCACACAGCTAGTAAGTTTCTGATACAAAATTTGAACACAGGTCTTCCTGACACCAGGTCCAGCACTCTACCCACCTAGTGGGCCACCTAGCTGCTTTAATATTTACAAAGTACTATAACAAATATAGTTTAGTATGAAAGACCCAGTTTGAAAAAGAGGAAACATTGAAATCTTTTTAAATTCAGTTAAAATATTTTGGAAAGAGATATTTTTGATAATTGTTTAATGGAATAGAACATTTGGACTCCAGAGGCTCTGGGAGACCCTTGTCACAAGTTTCGATATCTGTGTCTCGTTTTCCTCAGGTAGAAAAGGAGGTAGGTTTGGTTTAGATCTTTAAAGTCACTTTCTTCTCTAAATTCTAAGTAGCAGCAAAATTTGCAGAATACTCAGGGATTTTCCACGTTTGGGGCTAATAATGAGTGTAAGCTGAAATTCTTTTAAGTAGAAAGTTTCTCTTCCTAGTTGCTAATTTATAAGACATTATGTCTTGAAAAAGCTTTTTTTTTTAAATAGGGAAAGTGGGTCTGATTCTGTGATTTCAACCATGCAAAGAATTCCCCAGTACTAAAATTCCCTCTCTTATGAAATCAGCAACTGTAACAGTCTGAGAAAGTTGCTTCAGGCAGTTGTGTCAAACTCAGATAGAAACAGGGGCCATAGATAAGGATCCTTGACAGCTACATGTTGACTTAGTTTTAAAATGCAGTATTACCTGTGTTTTATTTTATTAAGTATTTACCAATTACATTTTAATCTGGCTCAGACCCCCTGGGGAGTGTTGTAGACCTTGGTGTTTGACACCTAGCCTAGAACACTGAGAGGTTGTGACCTGCCTGGGATCGAAGAGCCAGAATGTGTAGGCAGGACTTGAGCTCAGGCAGGTTTTCCTGGCTTCAGTGTCATTTCTCCATCCACTCTACTACATTGCCATAAGCTATAAACTTGAGAAAGTCTCTAGATTTGCCTTCAAGTTTGTGTATTCCTTGAAATAATTTTCTTCTGAGGATCTCATTTAAATTTGGGAGCTCCACTGTTCTGGCTCTAATAAACTCTTTTACCTTGAACAGGTCATTTCCCCTTTCTGAGGATTTAGCTGATTTTAAAATGGAGAGGTTGGAAGGCCACTGAGTGGTTTGGTGGCTATAGTGCTAGGCCTGGAATCAGGAAGGCAGGAGTTCACAACCAGTCTTGGACACATAACTTCTGTCCACCTCGGTTTCATTTGTCAAATGAGGATAATAGTGCCTACTTGCCATGATTGTTGTGAGGATCAAATGAAGTATTTGCAAAGCGCTTTACAAAACCTTAGAGCACTATGTAAATGCTATTATAAAGTGATACCTAAAATCCCTTTCAATTTTAAATCAATTTTCCTTTGCATCAATAGTGTGGACTTTTAATTTGTTCGGCTCACATATCTAGATCTTCCTGTCAGACCTTTTTTTTTTCTCCCGATTCTTATGGCATCACTAAACAGGATAGGTTATATAATGTATTGACACTGTAATTCACACTTACTCCCTACTCTGAAATAGTAGGGACCTCATAGACTTCTTAAATAAATTGCCTCCTTTGGCCCTTGGAAAATGGGGGAAAACAGACTACATGTGTAACTTTCTGCCTGGGGATATTTAATTGGTTTCCTTAAAAACACCCTAGGTGAAACAAAGGTACTTGGCTATTTCCTGATTTGGTGAGGGTAGTGTTTTTGGGAAAGCTACTATAGCATGTAAAGAGTTGCCATTAGACTAGTTCTTAATCCTCAGCATTTAGTTTGATATAATTACCTATATAGATCAGAGAATATATAATTTTTCAGGGGACAGAATTGAGAAAAACAAAGTTACTATTTCTCTTGAGCTATTGTCATGGGTGGGTGGGTGGGTGGGTATGATTTAACATTTTATTCCCCCCCCCAATTACATATAAACTATTTTGAGTCCCAATTTCCCTCCTCTCCTGAGAAGGGAAGCAATTTGATATAGATTATACATGTGCAGTCATGCAAAACATTTCCTTATTTAGCCATGTTGTGAAAGAAAACAGACAAAAAGAAGGGAAAGAAAAAGAATGCTTCAATCTGCATTCAGACTCCATCAGTTCTTTCTGTGGAGAAGGATAACGTTTTTCATCGTAAGTCCTCAAGACTTGTCTTGAATCATTAAGAATAACTAATCTGGGGCAGCTACCCACCACGGTATTCTATTACATTCATATGCAACAACCTGTTCAAGCATTCCCCAACTGATGGACATCCACTCAATTTCCAATTCTTTGCCATCACAAAAAGAGCTGCTATAAATACTTTTGTATATAAGTCATTTTCCTTTTTGTTGCTTTTTTATTTCTTTAGGATACAGACCTAGTAGTGGTATTGCTTGGTCAAATGATATGCATGGTTTTATAGCCCTTTAGAGTGGTTTTCCTTGATGATTTCTTGAATGATGATATCTAGGCTCTTTTTTTTTTTTTTAATTTTGGCTTTCAAGTAGTCTGATAATTTTTAAATTATCTCTCCTGGATCTGTTTTCCAGTGAGATTGTACTTTTTTTTTATTCTTTTGATTTTGTTTGATTGTTTCTTGATGTCTTAGTACACTTTCCCAAGCTTCAGGGTTTTTGTGCAGCTGTTTCCAGAGCTTGTTCTGGAGGGCTCTGTAAGCTTTCAGTTCTTCCAAGGTGGTATGATCTAAGGAGAGATGTGTTTATTGCTCTTCTGGCCTGTGCTCTCTTCTGCCCTGGAGGTGTGACCAGAGTCCCTGCTCCCCTGCAGCTACAAGCTCTGATTGTGCTAGTGTTCCTCCTCACCCCAGGACAGCGAACCGGATCCATGGGGGCAGTGCAGCAGGTGTCCTGCCCCCAGTGCCAGCAGAACCACTGATCTTCTGACCAGTTATCCAACCCCCTTACCATCTGTGGACTGAGAACTCCAAAAGTAGCCATTGCCACTGCTGATTCAGTCACTCCCAAGGTCTTCTCCTAGGCCTGGGGCTGGTGGGGCTGTGCTGGCGTGGCCTACACTGGACTGTGCTTCACTCTCACCCTAGTTAGACAGCTTTGTTTACTGACCTTGTAAGTTGTCTTGGCTAGAAAACTGTTTCACCCCATCCTTTTGTGGGTTCTGCCACTCCCAAATTTGTTTTAAGGCATTATTTTAAAGGTATTTGGAGGGTAATCTGGGAGAGCCAGGGTGAGTCCCTTTCTTCACCATGTTGGCTCCACCTCCACTGCGTTGTGGTGGTGTGGCTCCACAAAGACATAGATGTAATTGTATTCGCTCCTACATGGCTTAGACTTTTAGAGGCTGAAGGGGACCAAAGAGCCAGAGCTAAAATTATAGCCAGCTATGATCCTTGCAGTTACTTGTTAAAATGAAATGAGTTAACTTGAGAAGAGGGAAGAGGCAATGGAGATTATAGGAGACTACATAGGATCTAAGGATTTAGGGAGTAGAAGCCGACTGCTTGTTCCATGTGCAGAATATATTCTTGCCGGGTGTCATCTTCTCACAGTACCAAAACAGCACAAAAATTATGCATGCAATTGACCCAGACATGTTGGTATACCGTAGTATTCCAGCTAATCTGATGCAGGAGAAGTTAGGATTTTGGTTTTGGTTTTTTTTTTTCCTTTTTCATGAAACATGCCACTGCTTAGTAAGCATGTAAATAAGTTGTATATGGCTCTTAACAAGTAATTAACCTGGCAAAACTAAGTCATAAATCAAGGTTTTGTTTTAATCGGCTACTTGAGAATTTAACTACAGCGCCAAGTTTGAGGATAAAGTCATTCTTTTCAGAACCACCTTGCTTTCTAGCTCGTGAACTGAAATAATGAGAAGACCAAATACTTGGAATTGTACCATTTTAAGTGAAAAAAGAATGTTTTTGTATTTGTTACTGATTTATAATTGCACTTAAATATAATTGGGGAGGTTGCCTTGAAATGTAAATTTTCCAGTCTTTAAGAATGTTGAAGTCACGTTTTACTTAGCTCACCAAATATATATTTTGAGATGTTTTAAATCGTACAATTTATTTTACAGAGAGCTTTCTGTTGGCCGTGGCTCCACAGCACCAGTAGGTGGTGGTGTTTTTCCTAAAATAAGCACTGTAGCTCCCTGGGATGGCAAAGATGGTGAGGTAAGCATTTATATATGTGCTAAGCACTTTATAAATATTATCTCATTTGATTCTCACAACAACCCTGCAAAGTAGATGCTGCTATTATCCCTGTTTCACAATTGAGGAAACTGAGGTTAAGGCTACTTTCTGTCATATCCTGGGAGACGTAATTTGCTATAATCTTTTGTATTTTGTATTTACTACAGTGATTTTTTGAATTTTTACTATTAGCTCCATCACTGAACACTTAGCCACTCCAGAATCTTTTGTTTTCTCATGAGAAATACCATCACTCTTGAATAAAGAGGACCCAGTTTCAAGCCCTTACACTTCTCATTGACAACTATTTGTCTTAGGCAACTTACCCACACTTCCTTGGTGCCTCAGTTTCCTCATCTCTAAACTGAGGAGATTGAACCACATGATCTCTGAGGTTTGCCCTTCCAGCTGAGATTTTGACACTATGACAGGGAATATTATGGCTTTGGCCCATTGTCTCATGAGTTGTGTTAATAGTTAATAAGTTATTACTTTGTTGTTTAGAAGGCTAGAGCATCTTTGAGTTGTTAGGAGCAACGTATTGTTTCTCCATGACTGAAGTAGAGCTATGTTTAAGAAACTATGTAATAGTGGTCAAATTCTTTTTGTTGGTCGTTTGTAATATTTAATCTACTGTTTGACTTAGGCACATGAAAATTGAGAGGAAGAGTTTTAAGCGGTGAGATTAAAAACGATCAGAAAGTATGTGGTGTAATAGGCATTTAACCCATCTGTAAAGTTTGATCCTTTGTAAAGTTTTTGTAAAACTTTTTAAAGTAAAGATCCTTCCAGCATTTAGAAGTCTGACTCTAAAGTATTACTTTGCCACCTTCAGTTAAATCCCATTTACTGTTTCACAGCTTCCCATTGAAGATGATATTGACCTCAGTGATGTAGAACTCGACGACTTAGGAAAAGATGAGTTGTGAGATATGACATATACTTCTTGGGAGCGGATTTTTCCAGCAGTGGTGGAACATCCTTTGCAATCAAATGGATATACCAGTGGCCTTTTTTAAAAACTGAAGCAGCATTGTTTGGTCATTCGAAACACTGTAACAGTGAACTGTTTGCATCTCAAGAAAAACATTGAAAAATTCTATGAATTGTTGTTAACCAGTGAATTTGATTGTATTCTGTCAAATAATATTTTGAAGATAATTGATTTTTTTTTGTTGCTGTTAAAAACATTTTTTTCCATCCCAAGTTTGCTGTTTGTAGGTTCTTTAAGGCTGTTACTTTACTAAGTTTTTAACTGTGATTTTTTTTTCTTAATTTGAACACAATGCTTTGTTCCAGTTAAAGAATAAAAACAAAGTATTTTTGACAGTGCCTATCATGTATGAAAACAAGTCCACATCACAAAGTTTAATTCAGGGTTAAAGGTTGTGACTATCAGCTATCCTCACATAATAATGCCCTTTAGGTTTCTTTCTTCCCTTCTATAGGTGAATAGTAAGAACATAATATATATGCCTTTGGAGAGATGTGGCTCTCTGGCTTTCTTTCCCCTTACCATCTTTTTTCTTTTCTTATTTTTGTTTTCACTGGGTCTGTTTTCACATTTCTCTTATTTTAAGCATATTATCTTTGTAAACTAAATACCTACAGAAATACAACACTTGCTTGTAGCACTATTTTATTTTCACATTTTATAAAGTTAGTTTAAGTTTTGGGAACCCAGACAAAACTTGTATGTGAAATATACTCTGTATACTCTTGAGCAGAATTAGGGACAAAGCATTTGTGAAAGCCAGGCAAAACTCAATCATATACTGTTTTTAAAGTGCTTCTTATTCAAAAGCAGCCACCTATCCCTAGTGTTTCCTTTGCTTGAGAGTAGGTTTTAATCAATTGCTGGTTCAGGGCTTCATTTCCAATCTACTGCTCTTGATCCTCTTTTTAGGCCTCATCAAATGAATATCAGGGAACAGAACCCAGGTATATAGCTAGGCAATAAGAGGTTTCCAAATGTTTGTTAAATGGTGTGGTGTACTCCATTTGTAATAAGTCTTTTTTAGACTTCTGTGTAAGGCATGGAACCCTGCTTTAGGACCTGGACTCTTCAACCTTGGCAAATTGTGTATCTTAGACTTTCAGGCAGGGAACCAGAACTATGAGACTAAGTACAAAACAGTTGTAATTACTTTACATGTTTGTACATACAATGCCTTGAATATGTGTAGGGTGACTAGGTGTTCAGTATTATCTTAGTATTTAATTATGTTTAAATTGAAGTCAAGAAAAAATACTTCAAAGTTCAAAGACTATGGGAGCTTTTCTTTATTGTAACATACAAAAAATAAATACAACCATAACTAATTTTTGTGAGTAATTTTTGTAACATTCTAAATTCTCTAACTTAGAGAAGACAGCATCTACAGTTTAATTTGATTACATAAAGACATGAAATAAGGTTATTTCTAGAGTTACTAAGGGTTACCAGACTCAAAAAAGCTAGTCAAGAAGACTTAGGTCAATGTGAAAGTAGACATAAGGAAAATAATCTTGGTTATTTAGTTGTAATCCAGGAATATCCACAGAAGCCTAGAAAAGGAAGAAAAGACATTCTTGAAAGAGCAAGCTGTTTTTTTTTTAAGTTTAACATTGTTTATATTTTCCATGTTTTAGCCTTTGAAAACACTGCTCTGCTCTAAATTTAACATTTGACAAGAACTTATCTAGATATTCAAACTAATTCTTCCTGCCACCCTTCACATTGATTTATTTCCTACACACACACACTCTTTTATAATGGGAATAAAATACAATTACATCTTGTCATAGATGATATACATACATCCAGTATACTTGCTGCTGCTACTTCATCCAGGTGTTTGAAGACTGAGTTTAGAACCTCTCTTAAACGTTTTGTGGCCTTCTTGTGGGGTTGTAAAAGCACTGCCTGAAAATTCACAGGTAGTCCATACCTTTTTCAAATATATAAAATATTATTGACTCAAAGTGTAAAGATCAAGACCATCTTAAAATGTACAGTAAAACCTCAAATAAGCAAACATTACCAGTTTTTTGCTTGACATTTAAAGTACATTAGACCCAGTTTACCATTGTACTGTTTCTAACAGACAAAAGTTGCTGACATTGAATATAGTCAATAGGCTATAAGCATCACTCTAAACATCAGTGATGTCCAACAGCTGGGTGATGCAGTGGATAGAGCACCAGCCCTGGAGTCAGGAGGCCCTGAGTTCAGATCTGGTCTTAAGACAGTATGTGACTCTAGGCAAGTCAAATTAAGCCCAATTGCTGCTTCTCCCTCCCACCCCCCACCCCCCCCCCCAAAAAAGACAGGTGTCAGAATTCTGGCACATGAAGAACGTTGTTTACTTGAGCTCTGGGGGAAGTAGTATGACTAATACCTTCTAAAGTTACTAGTGTAAGGATGGGGAGGTAGGAAAAAAGAATATCAGTCAGGGGCCTGTAGAATCAAGTTACTCTAAAAAGTAAATGCTAGCTAAAAAACGGAAGTTGTTCCTGAATAAAAGATGTATCCTAAAGAAATGAGGACTTACACCAAGCTATAGTTCTAAGGAGTAAAATACTTTTATGGTCATTGGTTTAAAAAAAAAAGGATGTCATAGGGCCCAATGGTTCTTTGACTCAAATGCCATTTTTATAGTCATTCTTTTATCAGAACAGACCATTAAAAGTAAAATTTTTCCCTTTTGGCCCACAAATTGTTTTCATCCACCCATTCCACCAGGGGAAGTCTTCACATTCTTGGGGTAGACACCTCCTAACTCACCAACAGATTTGACACCCCTTGACCTGGTTTAGCCCATCAGGCCAAAACTGTTTACTGGGATGTGGCTGCTGTGCCTGCTACAGCTTCTTGGAGCCACAGGTAAGAGGTGGACACCAAAGGTGGAGAGCAGCCCTGAAAAGAGCTCAGCAGCCTTCATATCGGAGGTACTAATCTTCCCTGAACACACCCTATACCCCTTAGAACTTAAAAGATTTTACATCAAGACATTCAAAATTATATATGTATCAAGGGGAGATTCCCTATGCATAAAACCGGAGCAAAAATGAGTTTGACTATTTGTTGACTCATGTCATTAGGTGCTAAAAACATTGGAGGTGAGAACTCTAGGTTTATGAAAGCATAACCCTAACCCTAAAGCTCTCGTGTTTTTCCTGCTCTTCTGTTGCTGTGTTCTCCCTGGTGATTATTAGGCAATTAGCTAATTAACATTCTTTGTGCCCTCTTCCTCCCCCCCAAAAATAAAATCACTTTATATTACCTATTTTCGTGTGTCCTCCAGATAAAATAGATGGCCCTTGAGGGCAAAGACTGTTTCTTTTTTATCTGTATCCCTAGCACCTGGCACATAGTAGGTATTTAATACATAATTAGCTGTGCTAAAGAGAGGTTAGATCTCCATTCGTGGTAGAGATGGGGGACAACTAAGTGTGGAAAACTACATATACATATAGAATTGGCATATTCTGCTGAATTATTTTTCTTATTCTTTGTTGTAAAGGATGGCTCTCTCTGGGAGGGATCTTTTGGGAAAGGAAAGTGAATAATTAGCAGTGTTTTGTTTTTCCCCAAGAGAAGGCAACATTTCCTTAAATCAGTCTTAATTCTTAAACCACAACTCTATTAAACAAAAGCCTTCAGGAGATAATTATTTGCACTTTCTATTACATTGTATCAACTTGTAGGAATTAAATTAATATGATATTGTCAGCATCAGAAGTTGATATAAAATCTGCCACCAGCTGGGGTGACTCTCCAAGAAGTTACTATCTTGGAACATTTCTCAAGATCCTGTTCTCCCTTAAAAAGTTGGCAACCTGTGGAAGGTAGAGGAATATGTCAACATACAAGGGGAAAATTCTGATAGCAAATAGGCACCAACTCCCAATATAGAGAAACTTGGATTTTGAAAGATATTTGTTACCTTTTCATTCAAAGCAAATGGGATCATGGGGTAGACCTTCCCTCCCCTCTCTCTCCTCTACCCTACCCTCTCCTTTCCTCCTCTTCTCCCTCTCCTGTCCTGTCCCCTCCCCTCCCTTTCCCCTTCCCCTCTCCTTTCCCTCTCTCTCCTCTATCTTCTTTTCTTCTCTCCCTCTCCTCTTCCCTCCTCTGTCCTCTCTTCTCCATCCCCACTGCTCCCCTCTATAGTGGTTCTTGGTTGCAACATAGGCTTCTTCTTCATGCAGTCTTTAGCTTTTCCTCCTGTCATCTCCTGTGGAGATTTCTCCGGCAATATTGTTGTTGTTTTGTGTTTTGTTTTTTCTTTTTTTTTTTTTTGAGCTAGGCAATGGGGTTAAGTGACTTGCCCAGGGTCACACACGTAGTAAATGTTACATGTCTGAGGGCAGATTTGAACTCAAGTCTTCCTGAATCCAGGGCCAGTGCTCTATCCACTACGCCACCTAGCTGTCCCTGGGAATATTGTTTTACCAGCTTTACTCTGCATCTAGTATTGTCCTGTTCTTCACTTCTGTGAAGAGACTGGACAGAAATGTTCTCATTCTGCTCCAGAATACCTATGACCAGTGTTTAACAGTCTTACAAGCTCTGCCCAATGCCCACGCCCCGACATAACCCAGGTGGAAGGCTATATTACCTATGGGCATGATGATACAGGCCTTTCTAATTTGTTCCACTGTTCTCTCTAAAATTCTATAAAATCTCAGCCACATAAAAGTAATATTTCTTTAGTCTTCAAATTTGCAGTGTTTTCCTTGTGACCCTAAGAAGGTAAGGTAGATGTCATCTCCATTTTATAGATGAATAAACTAAGGTTCTAAGCTCAGGTGAGCTACCTGTGGTCACACACAGTGTCAGAGCTGGGACTTGAACCCTAAATCTTCTGAGTCCAGGTCCAGTACTTTCCCCACTACTTCACATTTATTATCATCATCAATAAGGCAAAGCAGTTGAAGAATACTAGTTATACTAATTAATACTACTTAAAAATACTAAGCAAAATATTAATTAAAAATAAAATGTTAATCAATGGCTAGCATTTATATAGCATCTGACATGTATCAGACTAACCACTTTACAAATACCTCATCTGTCTCCCCTTAACAACCGTAGGGGAAAGGTGCTGTTATACTCATTTTGCAAACAGAAGCGAAAGGATTTGCCCAGGGTCACAAATTCGAACTGTCTTCTTGATTCTAGACCAGGCGCCACCTAACTGCCTTAAGAAAAATGGTATTTCTAGACATGTAACCTGGGTTCACTTACCTTAGCACAGATTCAACAAAGACTCTCAAAGCCTTTAGGTGAATCCAGGCAATAAAAGCTTCACTGAAGTTCACCTTGAGCCAGCGCAAAAGGGGACCCTTGAAAAGAAATCATGTTATCACCTTTCTCTTCTACCTTCAGACACAGCACGTTAGAAAGAAACTTTTCATTATGATAGAATACTGACATTGATAAGAACAAGAAGCTTGCAAAAGCTGAAAAGGTGGAGAATCCACCCAGAAGTCCACCTTCCAGAAAGATAAACCAGGCCCAACTATATTATGGGGGCTGATTGACATCAAATTCTAGACTCCATTAAGTAGAGTTGAAGGAAATGAGCAGCTCAGCCACCCAGCACATGCATACCATCTATACTAATGTCCGGGAAAACTAGCGAGCCCACCTTCAAAGTAAGTTCTGATACCAGGCAGATTTCAAGCTTCTGTCTGACAACAATTTCCAACTTGGGATCCTTTAGGGTTTTCATTGCAAGCTATAATGTCAACAGTGCTAAGGCCAACAGTGCTCTACCAACATTCCAAGACTACATTTCAGACCAGCTTAAAGCTCCAACCCTGCTTGGCAGAGGAAATGCGCAGATTTCAATAGCACTCCCCTTGATGTAGATAGTGACAAAACTTTCAGTAGCGCTTCTCTTGATGTGGATAGTGACAAAACTAATGATAATCAGCACAAGCTACAGATTCTTCTTAGGAATCTTAAATGCACTTCACAGACCATAGTGCATGAATCCTCCCCAGCACCTCAAGATAGGTTGGTAGGTGGTTGAGTACCATTCTCTTCATTTGTACAGATGGAGAAACCCAGAGAGCATAGATGAGCTGCCCAATATCCAGGTGAGTTAGTGGCAGAACCCGTCAAAAAGCCAAGGACTCATGTCTCCCAATCAGCTCCATCCACTCAGAATCCTGGGATAACCTAGCCCACCTGACCAAGAAGCACATTCGTTTAGGTATTAGGGGGAAGACGCAGCATTTAACAAAAAGTCCTATAGATTAGGAAAAGGCATGATTGGCAAGGGAAGGGTCCCCTTTTTCATCACTTTTATTAATTTGAGGTCTAGTGAAAGCCACACCAGATGATGAAAATGGTGGGGAGAGATTCATTTTATCAAAAGTTAAAGACCTCGCAGCCTGGAGAGGGAATAGAAAAGCTCCCCAAGCAGAATTGCTTACCTCACCCTCGCCCTCACTCTCTTTTTCTTTCTCCGTCTGCCCCGTAGTGGGCCTACCAGGGTTCCCTATCGGGGTTACCTTAACCATGTGATCCGGGAAGGTAGATGATCTCTTTTTAAGAGCAACACGTGAAGTTTGCTATAAGCATAGAAATGATTTATTAATCTTTCAGCAAACATGCATCAGAACACAAACTAACATTAAATCAATGAAAAGCATCTAAGAGCAAGCAAGTGAATGATGAAATTTAACATTAATCCTAGAGATTAAGTGTACAAGTTAGATCCGTCATCTAACCTGGGGAAACTGAAAATGGCCTGTGCCTGGCTTGGTGCATTTCCTTGCCCACAATTCCAGGACCAAAGTCAATCGCTGAAAGAGGGATTAAGATCACATACCATGCTTGGAATATACACAGCCTTTGCCTATATTTTGGGTTTTCCCTCATAGATCAACACAAAAAGTTAGTGGAATGGTCCCAGCCCTCCCCAAATCTTGAAGGAAGTCAGGGAAATAGAGGTGAGGGGGTAGAACTTTCCAGTAATGAAACAGCCAATGCAAAGGCATGAAGATGGGAGATTGGAGAGTCCTGAGAAATTGAAAGACCAGCAAAACTATACTGTAGAATGTGTGGAGGGGGTGTTAAGTGAAAAAAGACTGGAAGATGATGGAGAGTTGCTGGTACTGGACTGTAGCTCAGGAAATACCAGGTCTGAATTTGTAGATCTGAGATTTCATCTTATCTCTTTAAACACAGAGTCAAATGAAGGAGCACAATGAAAGCAGAAATAAAGCTTTTTTCTCCTTGGTCAAGAATAAAAGAAGGAAAATAAATAAATAAAATTTAAAAAATAAAAATAAAATAAAAAGAATAAAAGAAGGATGAAATGACTAGTTCTTAATGTATAATGCAATCAATTTAAAATGGGATTAAGACAGAAAATAGGTTCTGACCTATAAACCCAACACTGTAACACGCCCCACCCCCACCTAAAGGTTAGTAGGCAGGATGCTACTTTCCCCATATAATAAGATGAGAAGGTTGAAAGCTATTAAATGTTTAAAAGTTGGATGCCTGTTACAGAGCTCTATTTCCCTTCTTAAAGAAACCTTGGCCACACTCCCTGGGGCAGGGGAGGGGGGAGGATGGGGATGTACAGAAGTGGAATGCCATGTAAAATTCTAGACCAGCAATCTGATAACCCAGATGGCAGGTGTGATGCTCTTGTATAACACACTGATAAACGGGGTGGTCTCGGGTTGGCTTGTGATGATACAGAGGGTAGTGCCAAGGACCCCATTTTATCCCTCCTCCTCAGCACAGCCTTCTAAAAAGTTTCCCTGGAAATAAAAGACTCCTAGATAGTCCAGGAGCCTGGAAATACGATGAAATTCACAGGTAAGGAATTAGGAAAGATAGCTGGTTTCAAGTCAGGAAAGGATAATGCATTAGTTCCTTTATTGGGGCAGGGAGAAGGGGGAAGGGAAGTGGGGAGAGAAGTAGTGCTTTAATTTTTATTCTTTTTTTTTGGCTTTTTGGTGAGGCAGTTAGGGTTGTGCCTTGCCCAGGGTCACACAGCTAGTAAGTATCAAGTGTCTGAGGCTGAATTTGAACTCAGGTCCTCCTGAGTCCAAGGCCAGAGCTCTATCTACTGTGCCACCTAGCTGCCCCCTAAACTTTTATTTATATATATATATGTATGTATGTATGTATGTGTGTATGTATTTTGGGAGGGGGCGCGGTTAGGCAATGGGGTTAAGTGACTTGTCCAGGGTCACACAGCTAGTAAGTGGCAAGCGTCTGAGGAGGAATTTGAATTCAGGTCCTCCTGACTCCAGAGCCTCTATCCATTGTGCCACCTAGCTGCCCCTTTAATTTTTATTCTTCAAAAAATGTGGGGGGGGGGGGTCAGCTAAGTGACACAGTGGATAGAGCACCAGCCCTGAAGTCAGGAAGACCTGAGCGCAAATCCGGCCTCAGACCAAACACTTGACACTTACTAGCTATGTGACCCTGGGCAAGTCACTTAACCCCAGTTGCCTAAAAAAAAAAAAAGAAATGTGGATAAACAGGAATGCTCAGGAAATTGATGGGAGAGGTAGTTCTGGGGGTAACAAGATTTCCTAGTTAGCTCAAAGTTAATAGAATTGTAGACTGTAGTGAAAGGAGCCCCAGAAATCATCTACTCCCACTCTTCCCTCTTTCCCAATTAAAAAACCCGTGTTTGAGCTCTCACTTAGTATTATTTGGCAATGTCCCACTAAGACCTGCCTCAATAAAGTCAAGTCCATTGACCAGAATTGACTTATTCTCTTATGACTGAGGATCCTAGGGGAGTTCAGGGCCACTGTACAGAATGAAACGTCATCTGTTATTGTTCAAGACAATGTGAAAGTTGTGGGTGACTGAACACCAGACCTAAGCCAGAGGTTTGAAGTTTTTTGTGTCTAAATCTCTGACATCTTTTCTTTCTTGTCATATATCTCTTACTGCTAAAATTAGAGGCAGTCACAAAATTCCAGTTCATGTAGGTGCCAGGTAATTTGTTTACAGTAGTGATAGTTTTCTATGTTTTTTGCTTTTTCCTGATACACATGGAAAAGGGCTATTCAAAGCATTAATTGCAACATATTCAGGATTCTACGAGTTATCTAAACATCTGACAAACTTTGGCCGAAAAACAGAACACAGGATAATATATTAACAAATACCCTTCCAACAAATAACACTTCTAAAACTTCACCTGTCTTTAGAATAAACATATTTTCCTAACTTCAGCAGTAAGGATGACTTTTAATAAATTTTGTGTTGATTTGCATAAAGCCTTCTTCCCCCACCTCCAAGAAAGCAGAGGGGCTTTCTGGTCTTGCTCCCCTTTTCATGACCAGTCCTGAAAATCAGTAGAGATTCACAGGATTTCAGAACCAGAACCCTTGGTGGGAAGCATGGTAATAAAAGATTCACTGGACTCTCTGAGGAAAAGGAACAATAGGGGACATAGTTCTGGCTTCTGAAAACCTGACTATGATTTGGGTGGGGTTGCATATGTATTAAGCCCACTTTACAGAGGAGTAAACTAAGGAACTGAAAGAAATAATGATTTGCCCAAAGGCCATGCAGATCATCTTTAAAAATGGAAAGTCTGGGAGTAGCCAGGTGGTGCAGTGGATAAGCTCTGACCTTGCAGTCAGGAGGACCTGAGTTCAAATCTGGCCTCAGACACATAATACTTCCTGGCTGTGTGACTCTGGGCAAGTCACTTACCCCCAACTGCCTCACTAAAAAAATAATAATAATAATAACATAAAAATAAAAATGGAAAGTGTGTTACTTTCATTATATGCTAAGCTAAGCTTCCTTCACATAGTACAACGCTCACATGATACTACTGCTAAAGGATACCTTTCTAGGCAGATGCTTTGCTAAAAACATGGGCAGGTAAAGACAAGAGGTGGTTGTTTGGTACATCTGAACACCAAGCACCACTCCCTTGAAAATATGCTCTTGAACAGTCTAACCAATTTCATTCAGCATAGCTGCATTATTGCCATCAACAGAGGAGTTGTGTCGGTCCCTCTGACGAATGAACCCCTGAATTGTTGGCCTCAGGGTGAGGGCACCCTAAGATCCCTTTCAAAGGGAAACTGAGCTCATGTTCATCATCAATGCCTGTGGCTGCTTTCCTAGAGCCCCTGGTACAAAGCTCCTGTGAGGTCAGATGGTCCTACCTGATGGAAGTAGGTCAGAATTAAGAGAAGACAGGCTTCTATCTAGATCTATCTCTTAGAGAGTTGGAGACTAAATCAGGGAAACTTCCAGGCTTCAAACAAAGGGCTCTTCTAGCTAAAACATCTGCCCTGGTAAAGGGATAACCAAAGGGTGGGGAATTCAGTAAGAAAATTCACCAGGCTCAAGTACTTACATACTGTTGCTTCTTTTCAGACAGCAATTTAGTCATCTCTTCCCTTTCAGTTTTAATTTCTTTTTCATCATAGAAAAATTCACGGACAATGAACCTTAAAAGAAGCAATATGGAAATGTTTTACATGATTGTAAATGTACAACCTATATCTGACTGCTTACCGTCCCAGGGAGAGGGGAGGGGAAAAAAACAGGGAGACATAGATTTTGGAACTCAAAACTTTCAAAAAAAAAAAAAAAGAAGAAGAAGAAGAAGCAATATGTTAGCCAATTATTAAATATGTAGGAGGAAGAAAATCCTAGCAGACTAGCAGCCAGTAGAAAAGGGTTAAAATCCCAACTTTGCCATTAACTAAAGGGCAAGTTTATAGTTAGGATAGAGGCATTGCAGAAAAGCAACATTTTCAAGCTTTCAGCTTCAAATTTCAAAAAGGAAAAAAATATAAATAAAAGTAAATAGACAGATAAAAAACTGGGTGGGTGGATAAGTAAATAAATAAAGCAGAAGTCCCAAATCCTTACTTGTTTTCTTTGGCTTTGGCTTTGAAATCATTGATCACCTTCCGAAACATCGTGACTGTAAAGAGGCCTCCCTCGTCATCCTCAGCAATCAGTCTGCGGAGGAGAAGACCCCACTTGTAACTGTGCTCGGACTAAAAAAGGCATTGTTCTTCCCCAGGATATGACATCCTACTTTTCCTTCTGGTTAACACCTCAGAAAGGTTATGGGTGAGGATCCATGCATTTGAAAGGTTTAAGAGCTGGGAATACAAGGAATTTCCAAATTCTAACCCTGTAGTCTTCACTCTGCCAGCGTCTGGATTCTCCCAACTAGACTTATCAGCTAAGAGGTTTCAGGGATTGCTAATGACACACCTGAGGATACTCCACATGCGGTCTAAAGGTTAGTCCTTTTGAAGAGGAAAGTGTGCTAGACTAGGAGTTAGGAGAACTGGATTTGAATCCTGGCTTTGCAACTAACTGGGTGAAAGCCCAGATGGTATTTGACAGGAAGTTGGGTGGAAGACTTAAGACACTGGAGGATAGGATTTGGATTCAGCAAGGTCTTAACAAGTTAGAAGGACGATACTTACTTCTACATTACTTTAATACCTAAAAGATCAGTGATTTCATCAGTGTAAGCATTTTTTCCACTTGATAAACCCATTGGGGACAACCAGATGACAAGTACAATGTTAAAACTCAGACTATGGGGGGCATCTAGGTGGCTCGGTGGATAAAGCACTAGCCCTGAAGTCAGGAGGACCTGAGTTCAAATACAGCCTGAGACCAAACACTTGACACTTACTAGCTGTGTGACCCTGGGCAAGTCATTTAACCCCAACTGCCTTAAAAAAAAAACAAAAAAACCTCAGACTATGAACATAGAGAACATCACTAGCCCTGCACCTAAAGCATCTGCAGCTTGGTAAACTCTGCCAGAGCCTTTGAGAACCCAGTATCACCTCCATACCAAGATGAGTCTTGTGAATTGACATCTTCATACTTCTGAAGTCAGAATAACTGGGTTTAAATTCTATGCAACCCTAGTTGAGTCACTTAGCTCCAATGGGCCTTATTTTTAAAATGAGGGCTTGATTCAATGATGGCTGAGATGATGATGATACATCTATAGAATGCATTAGGGTTTGCAAAACACTTTACATATATTATCTCATTTTATCTTCACAATAATACTTGAGATCAGTGTTATTATTATCCCCATTTTACAGAAGAGGAAACTGAGAGTGGCAGAGGTTTAATGACAAGTGGCAGAGATTTAATGCCAAGGCCACACAGTTACTAAGTAGCTAAGGCAGCTTTCAAACTCATCTTCCTGACCACAGATTGAGCACTGACTGTATCTACTATTCCAAGCAAAACCCATCTGCCTCTAAATCTAGGATTCTGTGGCTTTCATCTGGAAGCTAACAGCAAGTTCTTAGTTCACAACAAGCAAACAGAAAATAAATTGCTTTACTATGTTTGCTTTCTCATTATTATTTATATATATATATATATATATATATATATATACACATATATGTATTACTTTGGTTAAGTATTAATGTTACTCATCTTTCAAGAGCCATTTCAAACATCACTTTAACGTGGTGCTCAGAATATATTCTAAGACTAGGGGTCTTAGAAGCCCCTAGGGAATTCCTTCCTCTTCTGGTCCCACTGGAGTTAGGAAAACTGTTCTTCTGCCTTGTATGACAGGTAAATTTGTCTTTCCCTACCTATGAAATAGATTGTGAGCTCACCAAGGACAATGACCATCCATGTCTTTTTTAAATCTGACTATCCTCCCATAATGTTTAGAGATGATTGATCATGATATAGAGGTGACCCTGGTTTCACAAAGGCTATGCCAGGAAAGCACAAGTGAAAAGAGTTTCAAATAACAACAGCCCAGCAATGGACAGCATGCCTGTCACCTAAGTCCAATTCATCTAAGAGCAAAGAAGTTCATCAAGTGAATCATATTACCCTTTGTCAGAGCACCTCATAAAACCATATTCTAGGGTCTAGAGAGACTATGACCAGCACTGGCAGAAAGATTGCCCAAACCAAGGAAATTATAATTCCTGGAAGTATGGAAGAAATCTTTTGTACGTATGCATCACATATAGAATCCATTTTTAAGTGAGTCCATAGAACGACAGCCTTCTAATGAAAAATACTTCCTCCTCTCTGATCTAGTCCAATCTCCCTCACGTTTTACAGAGGAGGGACTCCCAGAGAAGACGGGTGATTTACCCAAGGATGCACAAGGGAAACATTTTTCTGTTTATGCCAGAGGTGAGCCTAGGACCAAAGTTCATGAACACCAGTTCAATGCTCGCATGAGTCCCACACCTTGCCTCTTCAATTCACTACACATTCTGAAACATAAACTAGAACAGTCTCTCCTTGCAGAAAATGCCATTTCTAAATACAAGAAGTGCAAAATCCACTGGAAAAAAATGCCCTGACAGGCCAAGGACCTGATTTAAGAGTTTCACTTACTTGGTTGATCGAGGTACCACCATGTCTGAGAGAGATTCATATCTTTTTTGCCACTGTGAATAGTTTGGCCTTCAGACAACAGAACAGAACTTCAGTTAGCAACAGCAAAAGCAATAAAGTAAAGTTCACAAGAGCACTTTCCTCACAAGAACCCTGTGAAGTAAGTTTGTTATTATCTCCATTTGAAAGATGAGGACCTATAGTCTTGAGAGGACAATTGACTTTCCCAATGTCTTATAACGATTAAGTGTTAAGAGCCACAACTTTCTCTGGGGGAGCCCACGAGGTCCTTAGGCAACTGGGATGGGAGGCTCCTGCCTGACACAGATCATCACTGCCAGCAGCTTCCTACTGTGGGGATTAAAATTGTCCAAACTACAATAAAAGAGACTGAGGCAGAGCTCTGAGCCAATGGCACTTTAATAAAGGATCCATGGTCCCCTCTAATGAAGTGGACCTCAGATCTTCCTTACACTCTGAGATGCCCTCCTCTTCCAGGGCTCTATTTTTAAGGTTTGACAACAAATCTGATACCTGAACATTCTAATGAAGCTACACAAAGTACAGAATCCTATTGGTTGATAGATATTGCTTCAGGGGCCAAAAATTGATGCATCAGCTAGAAATGGTATGTCAGCAGGAGGGTCTCGGGTTGGGCAAAGCATGGGGCATTCTCCACTGACTAAGTGGTCATAAGATGGTTACCTGCTCATTGTGGACAAGATAAAATGGTCCAGAGGTACAAAAATAAGTTCAGGGACTTTCCATGTCATCGAGTCACCTCCACTACACTGGGCTTGGTCACCGTAACAAAGAAAAACAAGGGTGGAGGGCCTCTAGTTGGCTTCCTATGATTAAGCAAATGAACTTACAATCTGCAACTCAAAGCTCTGGGGCCTAATATACATAACTTATAATCACTACCCCTATGGAATCATATCAAATTGATTAATACCGATTGGAATACAGTAGGCGTCCAAATGAATTATTCCTCACACTACCTGCCCCTCTCAGATGTCTCTTCTGGTTCAGCTCTACATCCTTGAGACCTTGCAGTGGTCAAAGAGCTTTCCCTTGGCTCTCTCAGCCCATTAGACAAAGAGAAATCTCCCAAAGAGGAACTGAGGACACTGAACACTGGGGTCACTTAACAATGCTCTTACTTTGGAACTATCACCAGGAGAGTGATGAGATACTCTGAATCCAGCACAAAATCTTCTTTGTTCACAATATCAGCTAATGTTCGAGTGAAGAGATTTCCCCTGAAATGCAAAAGCAGAAAGATGTGAGCTTAATGGAAAGACACATCACAGTCCTATCTGAGCTCCTATTCTTTCACTTAGGCTTTCTAGCATATAGGCATATGTGCCACATATGTAACACATACACATTGAAAATGAGATCTCAGCTACAAAATGGTCATATTCAACCAGTCAACAAGCATTATTTAGTGTTTTTCAGAGCACTGTGCTAGGCAGTCTAGGAAACAGTTTAGATCAGGGGTTCTTGACATGAAATTAACATGTTAATAAATATTATTTCAATATAACTGGTTTTCTTAACAATTTTCTTTTATGCATTTAAAAACATTATTCCAAAAACGGGATCCATATGCTTCACCAGACTGCCAAAGGAATCCATGGCAGAGAACAAAGTTAAGAATCCTTGATTTAGATAAAACACGGTCCTTGACCTCATGAGTTTACCAAGAAATGACATAAACACAGATAACTAAATAATATTACATGATGAGTGCATTATAATATGATAAAATGCTATCTAACGTATTACCAGGAACAACACTTAGATGAATGAGGGGATCTGGGAAGCCTCCTTGGAAGAAGTAGCATTTGAATTGGACTTTATAATACCACAGGCGTATTTTAAGCACCTACTTTATACCAAGTCCTATGTTCCCTGGTGGGGAGGAGAGGGATCCAGGTTGAATTAAACAGGGTCAATACCATCAAGGAGTTTGCACCCTTTAAATGCTAGTTTTAAAAAGACACCAAAAAGATTTCTCAAACACATTCTGTCTAACATACAATGAGTCATTATACAGATGCTTATGAATAACTTTTCTGTCATGTTAATGAAATAATTTGATTGCTTTAGTCACATTATCTAGGGATAAATTCACCTTAGTTGTGTGGATTAAGTATTAGGGTGGGGTGGGGGGAATGGGAAACCTATAGCTTCGAGGCCACATGTGACCCTCTAGGTCCTCAAGTGCAGCCCTTTGACTGAATCCAAATCACAAAACAAATTCCCATAATAATTTGTTCCATAAAACTGGGACTCAGGGGCAGCTAGGTGGCTCAGTAGATAAAGCACTGGGCCCTGAAGTCAAGAGGACCTGAGTTCTAATCTGGCCTCAGACCAGACACTTGACACTTACTAGTTGTGTGACCCTGGGCAAGTCACTTAACCCTAATTGCCTCACCAAAAAACAAAACAAAAAAAACAAACAAACAAAAAAAAAACCTTGGACTCAGTGGAAAGGCCACACCCAAGGACCTAGAAGGCCACATGTGGCCTGGAGGCTGCAGGTTCCTCACCTCTGTGTTAGGATAAAGTTGGGGAAGAAGCAAGAGGAGGATGTTCATAAATTTCAAATTGGACAGGACCTTTAGGAACATTTAGTTGTATTCCCTCGTCTTACAAATGAGGGAACTAAGGTCTCAAAATAAATGACTCGCCCGTGGCAGCACAAGTTATAAGCTGAAGATCTGAACCCAAGCGCACTATTGGTGATCCTTCCACTTTCTATTCCACGGCCTCCTCCTGAGCAAGTAAAATTGGGGTCCATTTTACTGATTAGGGGGGCAATAAGGAAGGCAAAGGATGAGATGTCATTTAAGCTAGATTTTAAAGGTAAAAATAGGGATGGATATTTCATCTATAGAATGTAAAAAGAGGTGTGATTTCTTTTTCTTTCTAAGTCCCCGACCTGTAGCACAGTGCCAGCACTAAGGTAAGCACTTAAGAATTGCTTCTTGATTAATTCCAGGCATAGAGGACAGTGTGAGCCACTGCAGGGATGGAGTTGTCCGGCTGACCTGGAACGTGAATTGTGGAGAATAGAATGATTGAGCTAAGACTGGAAAGGTAGAGAAGGTGCCACATCATAGCTGCAGACTTGGGCAAGTACCCTAGAGGCATCATGGGACAAGGGAAGGGGAGTTTTACCCACAGTTTGAAAAATGCTTGTTACTCATCTTGTTCCCTGGCCACTCACACCTTCTTTCTGCTTTTATTTCCTGGCATCCAGGGCACCCCCTCCCTTCCCCAGGAGATGTGGCAAACTTGGCTCATTAACCCAATGGTGTTCTCACCAGTCTGCCAAGATGGCTAAACTCAAGCTGCCTGAATTCCACGCCTCAGTGACCTGGGCTCCCCTCCCCACCTCCATTCTTTCCATCTACATTGCTCTGCCAGATTCATCGCCCTAATGCATTATTTGGATCATACTACTCTTCTGTTCAAAAGTTGCTCAAAAGCTCAGCCCTGGCACATTCCCATTGCCCACGAAGTCAAGTCCAATTTCCTAGCTATTCAAAGTCCTCCAGGATCTGGCCATAACCTACTTTTCTAGTCTTATTTCCCTCTTGTGAAGTGTTTGACTCCAATAGAACACAGCACTTTCCAATGCCTCTTAGCTGAGTCTCCAATTTACCTTCCCAATCAGACTGCCTTCTAAAAAAATTTAATCATTTCCATAACTGGAATCCCACAAAAATACTCACATTTCTATAGGACATTAGGATTTTAAAAGCATTTTCCAACCAATAACCTTATGAAATGGGTTTTGCAAGTATTAATATCCCTAGCTTTCAAGATAAAGAAATTGAGTTCAGAAAGGCTGTAATTTATCTAATGCAGCACAAGTGCAAGCTCTAGGATGTGATCCCAAGAGACTACTGACTCCAGTAACCTCCACACTATGATACTGTTCTGTACTAAAATATTGAGAATTCATTTATTATTATTTTTAGGAAATGAGGGAAGAAAGGAAGCAAGGAAGGAAGGGCCTATTATGTGCCAGGCACTGTGTTAAGCATTTTACAAATACTATCTAATTTGATCCCTATAACAACCCTAGGAGGAAGGTTCAGATAAGTAAAGAAAGCAGAAGTTATGTGACAACCTGAGTCACATAACTACTAAGTGTCAGAGGCTCAATTTGAACTTAGGCCTTTCTGACTCTAGGTCCAGCACTCTGTCCACTGGCTGCCCCTGATCAAAAGATCGAGAGCTGAAGAGCTGAGAGGATCTTAGCAATGTATGACTTCCTTATTTTATAGAAGATGGAACTGAGACCCAGGGAGTGAAAGTAGCATGTCAAAATCACCATGAAGTCAGTAGTAGCCAGGAATCAAACCCAGATCCTCTGATTCCAAGCCTGAGGCAGCCTCCCCTGCAATATGCTACCTTCCCCGTTGACTGTACCTCTCTTCTAGCTCCTATCACCTTCCAGAAGGGAAAGCTATTTCCCAGGGGGCAGGGGGAATTCCCTGGGGGCAGGGCTCTTTACCACTTTGAAGCTGACCACCAGGAGAGGAGGAGGAGGAGGAAGAGGAGCTGGTTCAAGTCACCATAGGGAAGATGGCTCAAGATAGAGCAAAGCTGCCGTTGACATGATTTTCAGCTCAAACAATCTAGTTGACTTGCACCTGGGGGGGGGGACTTTTTTTATCTTAATCACAGCATTGGTGACAGTATCTTATCCAAATTTTGTATCTCCCCCAGTACTCTTGAGTACATTAATTGCTTAATGTTTTTTTTCTTTTTTTTTGGTGAAGCAATTGGGGCTAAGTGACTTGCCCAAGGTCACACAACTAGTAAGTGTCTAGTTTCTGAGGCCACATTTGAACTCAGGTCCTCCTGACTCCAGGACCAGTGTTCTATCCACTTCACCACCCAGCTGCCCCCTCCACCAAAAAAAACTTTTTTAAAAATTCAAAGAAACCTCATCCTGGATATTGGCATATGATACACTGGCAACAACAGAAGAGAAAGTAAATAGCATTTTATCTGAGACTTGAAGTGTAGATAGAATTTTATCAATCAAGAATGGGGATAAAGGGCAGCTAGGTGGCACAGTGGATAGAGCACCGGCCCTGAAGTCAGGAGGACCTGAGTTCAAATCCGGCCTCAGACCAAACATTTGACACTAGCTGTGTGACCCTGGGCAAGTCACTTAACCCCAATTGCCTAAAAATTTAAAAAAAAAAAAAGGAATCATAATAGGTTGAAAAAAATTGCTATTGAGAGCTCTTCCAGCTTAAGCTCTATGATCCTTGGATTCTGTAACTAATAATACCATGAAGTATCTGATGCTAGCCAAATAAGGGGCATGGAGAAGATGCCTAGGAGTTGAGAGAAGGGGGATGTCATTACGGGGCAGCTAGGTGGTGCAGTGGATAGAGCACTGGTCCTGGAGTCAGGAGGACCTGAATCCAGCCTCAGGCACATAATACTTACTAGATGTGTGACTCTGGGCAAGTCACTTAACCCCAATTGCCACACACACACACACACACACACACAAAATGGGGGATAAAGGATATCATTTTTGATCGAGAAGTTTGTTCCAGAGGGGGTGGGAAGATGTGGTAGACAGAGCATTGGATTTAGTGTTAGAAGACCTGGGTTCGAATCCTGCCTCTTTTTTTTCCTATTGGTGTGACCTTAAGCAGTTCATTTAACCTCTGGACCCCAAAGCTTCAATAAAATGAAGAGGTTGTAAACAAATGGTATGGAAGGTCCTTTCCTATGCAAGGTTCTACGATCTTGGGGATTTTACTCACTTTGATGTGGGACAGAACAAGAAAACTGAGAAGCAAAATCATAGCAACCAACTTCTTACTTCCTGAATCTTTTATTTAACAACAACAGTATAAAAGAATGATGGTGGTTTACTGCATGTTATTGTTTTTTGGTGTACTCTGCTGGGTTGTCTAACCATGCTTCAGTGACTATATTCTGGGCATAAGCATTTTATTGACAGGCTAAAAATTATCCAGAGGAAGAGAGATCAGAAGGACTGGGAAACCCAAAACCATGAGGACCGCTTAAGGAAGTTGGGAATGTTTAGACAGGTGAAGATACTCAGTGGGTGGGACATCTTTGAGAAAAGCCTGGAATTCCCCCCTTCTTCCTTCTCTCTGCCTCTCCTGGCTCTGGGACTATCTCCTTGATATCCCAGTTGTGTTTGCGCTCTCTCCCTCCTCAAAGATAGAGAGCTAACCTTGCAGCCAGGAAGGCCTAAGTTCAAATCTGCCTGTAACACATACTGACTCTGTGACTTGGGCAAGTCACATAATTTCTTTGTACCCTAGGCAACTCTAAGATTGTAATTTGCAAAGAAGTACTGATCTACTACATTGGTAGAAGTACAGTTATTCCCTCACTGGGAGCTGGTTTTACTAATGAAATCACAGGAATTGGACATTGAAGGGATACCAAGCAATTGGGGAATGGTTGAACAAGTTGTGGTATATGAATGTAATGGAATACCGTCGTTCCATAAGAAATGATGAGCAGACAGATTTCAGAAAAACTTGGAAGGACTTATATGAACTGATGCTGAGTGAAGTGAGCAGAACCAGGAGAACATTGTACATAATAACAGCAACATTATCCAATGACTGACTTTGATAAACTTAACTCTTCTCAGAAATGCAAGGATCTAAGACAACTCCAAAAGACTCATGATGGAAAATGTTATCCACACCCAGAAAAAGGACCATGGAGTTAGAATGCAGATCGAAGCATACTATTTGCTCACTTTCAGGTTTTTTTGATTGTTTCATTTTGTTTCATCTTTCTCATGCTTCCTCTCATTGCTTCTAATTCTTCTTTACAACATGACTAATGTGAAAATATGTTCAATATTAATGTATATGTAAAGCCTATATCAGATTGCATACCATCTTGGGGAGACAGGTGGAGAGGGAGGGGGAGAAAATTTAGAACTTGAAGTTTTATGGAAGTAAATGTTGAAAACTAAAAATTAATTAATTAATCAATTAAAAAAAGAAAGAAAGAAAATGAGGACAAACAACACAAAAAGAAATCACAGGACCAATCTTCATACTTACTGGGGACTCTTAACTTTGCATCTTCTCCACCCAGAAAATTGCCCTGTTTTAATAAATGTTCGTAGGATCAAATTGAAAATATGGTAATCCCCTTGAGAGATAGATGGCACCTTTGTTACTACTGATGACAAGATTCAGTTGTGGCCAACTCTTTATAACCCTATTTTGGTTTTGTTTAGAGAGTGTGTAATCTGATATAGGCTCTACTTATACATTCATATTAAGCATGTTTCCATATTAGTCATGATGTATAGAAGAATTAAAACTAATGGGAGGAACCACAAGAAAGAAGAAATAAAACAAAACAAAAAAGACAAGGAGAGCAAATAGTATGCTTCGATCTGCATTCAGGTTCCATGTTTCTTTTTCTGGATGTGGAAAACATTTTCTATCATGAGTCTTGAAGTTGTCTCAGATCCTTGCATTGTTGAAAAGAGCTAAGTCTATCAAAGTCAGTCATCACATAATGTGACTGTTACTGTGTAACATCTTCTCCTGGTTCTGCTCATTTCACTCAGCATCAGTCCATACAAGTCTTTCCAGGTTTTCCTGAAGTCCACCTGCTCATCATTTCTTAATAGTACAATAGTATTCCATTATATTCACATACCACAACTTGTTCAGCCATTCCCCAATTGATGGGCATCACTTCAATTCCAATTTTTTGCCATTTGGGTTTATTGTTTTTTGGGGGGTTTTTTTTGGCAAAGATACTAGAATGGTTTGCCATTTCCTTCTCCAGCTCATTTTACAGATAAGGAAGCTGAGGCAGACAGAGTTAAGTGACTTGTCCAAGGTCACACAGCTAGGAAATGTCTGAGACTGGATTTGAACTTAGTAAGAGGAGTCTTCCTGAGTCTAGGCCTAGCACACTACCCACTGTACCACCTAACTGCCCCTGAGTGGCACCTTAGACATTATCTAATTTAATCCCTTCATATTATCAGTGTCTTCACATATTTAAAGTGCTGTCCTATAGAAAGGAGGCAGATTTGTTCTGGGTTGTGCCAGTGGGAAGAAATAGGAACATATAATCCAAAACCAATTTACATTTATATAGTTACTTAAAGGTTTTCCTTATAATCAACCCCATATCCTCAGGTCAAAATTCTTTATGAGCCTGATTTGGGATTTTACAACATCTCCTGAAATACTAGAGAAATTGAAGTAGAGAGGCAGCTAGGTGGCACAGTGGATAGAGCACCAGCCCTGGAGTCAGGAGGACCTGAGTTCAAATCCGGCCTCAAACACTTAACACTAACGAGCTGTGTGACCCTGGGCAAGTCACTTAACTCATTGACTAACAAAATACAAAAACAAGCAAACAAAAAGAAATAGAAGTAGATAGGTAGAATAGCGTTCCTTATTGTCCCCATTTTACAGATGAAAAAATTGAGTCAGGAGGATTAAGTGACTTGCCTAAGGTTGTATAGTCAGTAAGTGGTGAACGTAGGATCTGATTCTCAAATCCAATGTTTTTTCCATTCTCCCACACTGCAACTTTCTAACAGTCAGCACTGGGATGTAGATGTAGACGCCTGAGAACACCTTGTCAAAGATGTTGCAGGGAGGATTACCATATTGTTGTAGGAGGCTTGAGCGTCTAGATGACCTCTAAGTCTTCTGAGAAGCAGAGTGCAGCCCTGGTAACCATCTGATTCAGGGGGATAACTCCCTTGAATGAATAACTTGGGCTTCCTCTTCCCTTCCCTTCCCTTCCCTTCCCACTACCAGAGAATGGATTTCATCTCTTCTGCTCGTCCTTTCCCACTGCCCAGCAGGGTTGTCCACAAAACCCATAGAAAAGAGGAAAAGGAACAAGACTCGGGTTTGAGTGACTTAACTAACTCTCTGGCTCTGGACAAGTCACCTGTAAAATAAGGAGCATAATACTTGAACTAATCTTTTCACAGGATTTTTGGGAAGAACAAAGTACCTGAGTAATGTAGAAATGAGGGCATCTAGGTAGCTCAGAGTCAGGAAGTTTGCTGTTGAGTGTTTCAGTCATGTCTGACTCTTCATGACCCCATTTGGGGTTTTCTTGGCAAAGATACAGGAATGGTTTGCCATTTCCTTTGCCAGCTCATTTTACAGATGAAGAAACTGAGGTGAACAACATTAAGTGACTTGCCTGGGGTCATATAGCTTGTAAGTATCTGTGGCCAGATTTGAACTCAGAAAGAAGAGTATTCTGTAAGCCAGGCCCTGCGCGCTATCCACTGTACCACCTGGCTGCCCTTAATTCCCTCTAGCTCAGAGTAGCTCTTTTCTCTAAACTCTCATTCTCCCACTCCCCTCCAAGTCTTTTTTTTTCTTTTGGTAAGGCAGTTGGGGTTAAGTGACTTGCCCAAGGTCACACAGCTAGTACGTGTCAAGTGTTTGGTCTGAGGCTGGCTGCCCCAGAGCCACCTAACTGTCCCTCCCCTCCAAGTCTTTTACTCTCCTTTTCTTCTAATTTCTTCTCTAAGAAAGCCCCAAGAAGCAAGTGGATGAGGATCAGTTAGGAGGCAGTCAAAATGCAGGAATTTTGTGATCCTAAACTCTGAAATTCCCTAACTATAATCTGCTGCCTTCCATTTCTCAATGTCAACCTCCCCCATCCTCATTGCAATCTCCAGTCCCCCCCAACATTCCCTATTTGTTCAATCCATCATCACTCCTACATTGACCTTTCTTCAGTCTTGAACCTAAAGTTAACTAAAATATAACTTTAAGCTGCCTCTTTTCAACTTTTTCTTCTACTGTGCCAAACCTTTAGCTGGGAGACTTTTCTTCTTTCTTCAATCCTTATATTCAATTACTTGCCAAGTCCTTTTAGTTCCTCTTTCACATCTGTCCCTTTCTTAACATTCACAATGTCACCCTCACTTTAATTTATCCCTTTCTTGTCCCTACTGTTTCAATTGCTTCTAATCTCTACAGTCTCCACTCCATCTTCAGTTACCAAAATAATATTCCTAAGGCACAGAACTGACCATGAAACTAAGTGGTTCAAAAACCTTGAGTGGCTCTTTTAGATAAAATACAAATGACCTCTTTCTAGCATTTAAGGTCTTCCATGATCCCTCCCCAACCACATTTACTGTACTTAAAATATCCTCCTTCATGAACTCCAAGTTCCAGCCTTAAACATTCCATTTGGCACTAGGCATTTGCATAATCCTTCCCGAAAGACTGGAATGCACTCTCTCTACTCACAGAACCCAGGTCTTCTTTCCATACTCAGTCCATTCTAGTTACCATTTATTTACTTATCTGTATATAAGGCATTCTTCTTTGGTAGGTGGTAAATTCCCTGAGAAGAGGAATTGTCTATCTCCCCACAAATGGTATCTCTCAATATCTCAACCCCACCCTTGCATATCACAGACCATAAACAGAAGCTGAATGGAATTGAATAAGGGGAGAAAGGAGGGAGGTACTGGGGCTTGGGGCAAAGAACTAAGGCATTCTAAATCCTAGTAGGCCTCAGAAGAAGCACAAGGATATATACCTATAAATATATCAAAGCTGGAGTATAATCAAAGCTGGAGGGGTGGGGGTAGGAAGGGGCAAAAGGAAAGTGAATGTGTTACATGGGCGGGACAACTTCAGCAGAGCCTATATAAACAGGTCCCATGAATGAGCAAAAGCAAAGATACATACGAGGATTTCTTTTCCAGATTCTCCAGGTTTCCTTTCAGAGTATTGTAGGCAGCCGTTCGAGCTTTCAGGTCTGTTTCTATTTGTGCCAGTTGCTGTATGTAAAAACGAAAGTTAACAAATTAAGATTTCCTACAAAACTGCCTCCATTTGGATACATTAAAGAACTCTCTGGACAACCTAGATGACAAGAAGTTGGGTTTCACCCTGAGGACCTATGCAGCAGCATAGTGTGGTAGGAGGTACCTGAGTTTGAATTCAGGGTCCACAACTTACCAGCTTTATAACCTCTCCCCACACTGGGGCTCAATTTCCCTATCTGTAAAGGAGAGGTAATAATCCTTGTACTCCTTTCCTAGACAGTAGAATTCTTACAAACATCAAATGAAAAAAGAGCTGTGAAGAGCTATGCAAATGTAATGTAAATCACTATTGCTTTTAAAGTCATCATTTGTTTCCTCATTGTTCTGGGAAGACATTTCCAGTATAGCCTAAGCACAAGTAAATCTTACCAAGCAGGAAATAACAATAGCAACTGACATTTAAACAACATTTCTGATCCTTACAGCAATCTTGTTCCTGGCATTATTAGCCTTATTTTACTGATGAGGAAACTGATGCGTAGAGAATTTAACTGGCTTGCCTTATGGTCACACAGCTAGTTAAAGTGTCAGAGGCAGGAAAGGTTTTTAAGGACACATTTGAAATATTTATCATACTGACTATAGCTGTGGACTGGGAGGCAACGAGAACTAGGTTTGCACGTGTCCCAGGCATCCAAAATCTGTGGCCAAGAGCAAGCCCCATACTCCTCACCCACAAAATGAGGAATAACATCTAAACGATTTACCTCAAAGGATTATCATGAGGCTCAAATGAGACAATGAAAAGTACTTTGTAAACCTTAACACAATACAAACATCACCTATAATTATCATGACTGTCATTCAGTAAGTTGATCCAAATCTTTCTTGAGGTTACTTCTGTTTTTATCTGCCTCATTCTACCTCTTGTAGTAGTATCAGCTTCTACAACATGTCCTACCAATGTTATAACATAACTTACTTGCCCCAAATTGACCACTCTCAAGTTTAAGACTCTTGCACAAAAGGCTTTCCTAATTTCTTATGGAATCTCCTTAGTCTACTACTTAAGGTCCTGAAGATGGCAGACTCTGACCTCAGACTACCCCCTGCTTTCCATCTTCACACAAATGCCCCAGACACTGTACCAACTAGAATTCCATCCGAACCCTATCTCCGCAACTGGATATTTTATCCATCTTCACAGGCCCAATATTTCTCTTGATTTCTCTAGTCAGGTGTGTTCTCTCTTCCAGGGCTTGGTCCCCACCCCACCCAAGGCACTTCTAGCACAAGCAAGTTGTCTCATCTCATTTTCTAGGCCAGATATTCTAGGAGGGCTTAGTGTCTTATCTTGGCTCTACTAGAGCTCAGCTGGTTCCGGCCTTCTCAGTTCAATTAGGTTGCAAGCTCTAAGAGGGCAGGGACATATCTTATTTATTCTTATATCTCCCATAGCACCCAGCATAGGATCTTAAACTTAAAAATCATTGAATATAAATGTCTTGACAATTCTATATAGAATATACAATTCTGTATAGTCAGTATGGTATATATATATATATATATATATATTCTGTATATTCAACCTGTTTATATCACCAGTGGGCTAGAGAAAGTAGTAACCAGCAGCCACCTTCTAGAATAAATGCCAATTGGCCCCCTTCCCTGCCATAGAGATGGTCAATACCTGCTTTAGCATTCAGGCACTGGCTTCACAGAGGAACTGAGCTCATTACACACCTTAAGTCATGCATTGAATTAGATCCTAAAACTTCAGAGCTGAAAGGGACCTAAAACATTATCTGGAGTCCAATACCCTCAAGGAAGTTGCATACTACAGAGGGACAGAGCATACTAGACTGGTAATATTATGAAATTATTTCTTTTTAATGGTCATAAGCTTCCTCCCAGCAAACAGCAACTGGCTTCTAGATGACTTTTGAAATCCTGATTAATTCTAGCTCAAGGACTATGTCCCTATGTCTCCATGTTTCTCAAGTAAAGGATCATAGAATTTAGACCTGGAAGGAGATTTCCTAGGATTATCCCTTCATTGTATAGAGAATATGACCAATCATCATTCAACTTTCCTGGGCAGCACTTTCTTTATCTAGAAACTGAGACAATTAAACTAGGTGGTCTTTAAGTTCCCAAACTGCTGTAAGTCCTAAGACACTAGGGCCAAGAGAAGGAAACAGACTGTGTTAGTGGAAAGAGTCATAGGACCTTAACAGTTTAAATCTCATCTTACTGCCTAAGTCACCTTGGGCAAGTCACTTCTCTTAGCTTCAGTTTGCTCATTTATAGGGAAATGAATAAGCATTTATATAGCACCTACTACATGGTAGGCACTGTGCTAAGACCTTTTTTTTTCCCCACACAAATATTATCTCATTTGATCCTCATAACAACCCTGCAATTAAGTGCTATTGTTATCCCCATTTTACAGGTGAGGAAACTGAAGCAGATGGTGATTAATTAACTTGTCAGGAATCACACAGCTAATAAAGAATCAGATGTGAACTCAAGTTTCCCTGACTCAAGTTACACTGTGTCACCTAGCCCTTCCATAAAATGATGTGGATTAGATAAGACCACCTCTAAGATACTGTCTAACTGGTCCCTTCTAACTCTGGATCACAGTGTATATGTGTATGTGGGAGGGAGAAAGGAGAGGAGAGTGTGAGGGTATAAAATGAATGGGTGGAGATAGTGGACTCCATACCCCCCAGGGACAATGACTGCCACAGATATCTGGGCAGGAACTGAATGTCCTATCAGGTTTCTCTAATTGCCTGAGGACATTAAGGCTTTGTGATGCTTTTAGAGAAGCCCCACCTGGATTCCCAAAGGCCCCTAGGCTTCCAAAGGGCCACAGATTTATCAGGAGAAGGAAAGATGGGTTAGGGTCTACTGCCTGACCATAAACTAGAGAGGCCAAATGGACTGTGTTGACAAAATACTGTGGATTCCAAGAACTATGGTTCCATTCTAAGAGCCCTTGAAGTGGAATCAGGAGTCCTGGGTTTCAGTCCTAGACCCTAACACTTCTTAGCTCTGTGACCATAAATTAATCACTTGATCTCTCTGAGCCTCAGTTCCCTCACCTATAAAATAGGTACAATAATGCATCGACCCAATGTGAAGGTACCTTTGGGGTTCTGGAGAATGCACTAGCACAGAGCATTCTCAAGCAAGTCCAACTAGACTGGAGAAGGATGGAGTATTAGACTTCCAGGGGGTTTCTGGCCTGAGAGGCTGATCACCAGGTTAAGATGTAGGGTAGATATTTCAGGATTAGCAACCTTTGAAAATCACCTCATTTGGAATCCAAGGGAAAGAGCCTTGGATTTGGCACCAGAGGACCTGAGATCCAATCCTAATTCTTCCATTTCCCACCTGAATGACCGGGAGCAAGCCACTCATTTTCTCTGGACAATTTTCTAGGTGATTCAATGAGCTAATAAGTTTTAATGAGGCCATGCATAATGCTACAGAAAGTAGCCACATTGTCAAATCAGACCTTGAAGACCTTGAACACATACAAACTGGATGCTGTGGAAAAAGCAACTACGCAACTAAGTAAACCTTAAATTAACTCTTTTAGTTGCTGTTATTATTATGAATCAAGACCAGACTAGATCCTGCCAGAGATGGTAGACAGTGAGGTGTAACAGGACAACAACTTGATTAGAAGTCAAGAGCCTTACATTTAAATCCTAGCCCTGCTACTTAAGAGCTATAGGAATTTAGGGGCATTCCTTCCCTTTTGTGAGCCTCAGTTTCCTACTCTGCAAAATAAGGGAGTTACATTCAAGGGGTAATGGTCAAAGAAATTATAATATATGGCTGTAATGGAATATTATTGTATTGTAAGGGATGGCAGATGACAGATTTCGAGAAACCTAGGAAGACATGTATGAACTAAGGTAGAGCATGAGTGGGTAGCTACATGGCACAGTGGATAGAACACCTGGGCTAGAGTCAAGAAGACTCATCTTCGAGAGTTCAAATCCATCCTGAGACACTAGTTGTGTGACCCTGGGCAAGTCACTTTGTTTGCCTCAGTTTCCTCATCTGTAAAATGACCTGGAGAGCGAAATGGCAAACCACTCCAGTATCTTTGCCAAGAAAACCCCAAATAGGGTCATGAAGAGTTGGACATGACTGAAAAATGACTGAAAGAGTATAAGTACAATCAGAACTATTTATACAATAGCATAAAGGAAAACCACTTTGAAAAATTTAAGAACCATTATCAATGCAAAGATCAGTCATAGCTCTAGAAGACTACTGATGAATCATGCTTCCTATTTGTTGCTACAGAAGTAATGGCCAGAGGTATAGAATGAGATGAAACATACATTTAATATTATTAATGGATTTATTTTGCTTGACTATACTTATATTACAAGGGAGAATTTCTTCTGTAGGAGTAGGAAGAGAGGAATTATGAAGGGGAGTTGATGGGTAAGGAGAGTGATTCAAACAAAATGAAAGAAAGAAAAGAGTGTTAACTAAACTTTTTTTTTTTAAGTACACAGTGAAGAACAGAAGGAAGCTCAAAAGAAGAAATAGACAAGCAGGACAGTTGTTATTTTATTAAACTGAATATACATGTTTTGAAAAGTGATGTAATAGTTCATACTTTTCCTATGTAATCCTCTTCTGTTCTTTGTACATCAAAATGTTCATATTTAAGTTGATTACAAAAAAGAAAAAATATTTAAACTGAGGGTTGGACTAAATTATCTGAGTTCAAATGACAAATGGCATTAATAGCCTGTCCCTGCCTCACCTAGGTAGCCAAATACAGTATTTCAATAAATGGCTCATAACAGCACATTACAATACCCTCCACTGGTTTGCACAGTGAGGACTTCAAAGAGATGGAAAATCTGCCAGCCGACCTGTGTTCCGTGGACAGAATGTTCCCCAATTCTCCTTGGTGTGGAGTGCATGTTCTCCCTCCTCTTTGGGCAGATATTTCACAATCATTCTCATTCAGAAGTTATTTCTTAGGTTTAACCAAAACCACAGACGGGACTGTTTGATCAGACCTCAGAGGATGAAAATGGATCTATTGGGTAGATGAATGCCAATTGAGTCGGCACCCTAGCTAACACTTGTTTTTCATAATAGCTATGTCACAAATTATTTATTTCACACCCATACAAAGACTACCATAAGTAATAGTCACCATACAATGCCTCCTAGGTCTCATTTATTCATTAACAAATGTTGATGGAATGGAATCAATGACTGGACATAGTCAGGAGACCCAGGAGCCCTGACTGACACTTCTTAGCTGTGAAGCAGGAGGCAAATTACTTCTCTTGGTTTCAATTTCCTCATTTGTAAAAGGGTAATAATGATACTTGCGCTCAGGATTTTTATTTATTTTTTTTTCAGACTAGGTGTCCTATGCTATCCAAGCTGGAAGTTCAAGGGCCTGATCCCACTGATTGACATAGGAACTTTGAACTGCTCTGTTTCCAAGCTGGGCCAGTTCACCCCTCCTTTGGCAACCTCCTTTGCCTCCCATTCACCCTCTGCTTCTGGGGGCTCAACACACTGATGCTGATCTTAGTGAGGATACTTAATCAGTTTAATCCACTGTAACTCAGAACCCTTGAACTCAAGATCTGCGAGCCTTAGCCTCCCCATTAGCAAGATGACAGGTGTGTATCATCACCACATCTGCCATCTTGGGACTACAGGACAAATATTTGTACACCTGGAAGCACTATTATAATGTGAATTATTCAATGAGAAAAAACTCAATAAGGTCTATAAATATAAATTTCTATAAATAGCAGTTATCATCACTGCTCATTTATTCCTTTATTCAATAAGTCTTAATTAAGTACCTGGGTATGGAACACTGTAGTGGCCCATCAGATCTATTACTATTAAACTCTCAATTACTAAATAATAAGCCTCCATGAAGATGTGGGAAAATGGGAACACTAATGCATTGTTGGTGGGGCTGTGAACTGATTCAACCATTCTGGAGAACAGTTAGGAGCTATGCCCAAAGGGCTATAAAAATGTGCACACCTTTTGACCCAGCAATACCACTTCTAGGTCTATATCTCAAAGAGATCATACAAATGGGAAAAGGACCCACATGCACAAAAATATTTATAGCAGCTCTTTCTGTGGTGGTCAAGAATTGGAAACTGAGGGGATGCCCACCATTTGGGGAATGGCTGAACAAGTTGTGGTATATAAATGTAATGGAATACTATTGTGCTATAAGAAATGATGAGCAGACAGATCCAGAGAAACCTGAAAGACTTATATGAACTGATGCTGAGTGAAATGAGCAGAACCAGGAGAACACTGTACATACTAACAGCCATGTTGTTCGATGACTAACTTTGATAGATTTAGCTGTTCTCGGCAATGCAAGGATCTAAGACAACTTCAAAAGACTCATGATGGAAAATGCTATCCACGTCCAAAAAAAGAACCATGGAGTCTGAATGCAGATCAAAGCATACTATTTGCTCACTTTCAGGTTTTTTTGGCTGTTTCATTTTATTTCTTCTTTCTTATGCCTCCTCTTATTGCTTCTAATTCTTTACAATATGACTAATATGAAAATAGGTTTAATAGGAATATATAAGTAGAGCCTATATCAAATTGCATATTGCCTTGGGGAGGGGGGATAGGAGGAAGGGGGAGAAAATTAAAAACTCAAAAGCTTATGGAAGTGAATGTTGAAAACTAAAAATAAATAAATTTTTAAAAAGGAAAAAAATAATCTTCCATTTAAGTGCTCCTCTGATGCTTCATCATGGTATGAATGTGAATGTGGATTCTCAAAAAGTTTCCCAGTGAAGTGTAAGTTTTGTCATAGTCTACTAAGCTAGAAAGGCTTCTAAGATTGGCCAGGTAATGACAAGACTGTTGTGTGTTGAACAAGGAATGTCTAGCTAAGATCACAGAAGCTCATCATGGTGTCTCAGCAAGATGAATTGTTCCACCACAGAAACTCTCAAAGATCATCCAATAGGTTGTGGGGGACTATATAATCTGCACAGCAAGGGAGGCTACCCCCATTAAGCAAATCACAAGTCCTTGAAGTATCTGAACATAATCAACCTTAGATGTAAATATTCAAATGTTATAGAAATGTGAATTATTATCATAACTCTAACCTGCTTCCTCAAAAACCTGTTCTGAAAGGGGCAGGCTACACTCCTACATCCAGACTGGCGAGGTGGGTGGGGAGGACAAGTATCTGAGCCCATAGTCTTATGGGAGAGAACAGGGTGGCCCTTACCATGACCACAAAAGCCCATGATATTGCAGAGTAATACAGGTTGGGGAACATACCCACTGCTACCACAAAAAAAACTGAAGAATTGGGGAGGCAGTCAGTTCACTGAAACTCATAGGATTTTGCTTCCTGGTTCCCTACTGACTGCCCTGACCTGAACCTCCACTCATGAACATCACATTCTGTTTCCTTCTCAAACCCTTAGAGGTTGATACTACGCAGAAGACATCCTGGTATCAAACCTGGCTGTTCAGTTTGAGAAGTGGATTTGTACCCTCCCTTTACCCTACCAGTGGGTACTACCTCTGCCTCTACTGGTTCTAGGAAGCTTCTTCTCATGAAGAACGTGACAGCCAGGGCAAGTAAAGAGGCCCTGAGATTAGGAAAACACAAATCCAGCCATGCATGGAAAAGCATAAACCACAGAATCTGAGGATATTAAGGCAAAAGGAGTGTTTAGAACAAAGAGCATAAAATAAGAGTGACTTCATTTTATAGATGAAGAAGATTGAAATCCAGAAATGAAATGACTTGTCTAGGTCATTTTTTCAAAGGAAAAGGAATTAGGGGCATCTCGGTGGCGCAGTGGATAGAGCACCAGCCCTGGAGTCAGAAGGACCTGAGTTCAAATCCAGCCTCAGACACTTGACACTTACTAGCTGTGTGACCCTGGACAAGTCACTTGACCCCATTGCCTAGCCAAAAAAAAAAAAAAAGGCAAACAAAGGTAAAGGAATTAGATGAAATGCAGGTTTCCTGTCCACCAGTGTAGTGCCTTTATCACTATATCCAAATGTAAAATGTGGAAGCTCTGTAAATGGGATGGGGAAAGGGAGATGAGAGAATACAGTTCAGAAGGCTCACATACCCTTCCCTAAGATCCCTCAAGTCCCCAAAGGGTAACTACTCTCAGACACAGTCATGTCTCCTTTACCTTTGCTAATGTGTCCACTACAACCACAAGCGGCTGCTTGGCAGGATACTTGGCCATGTCCCATTCAAAGCGGGTCACAAAAGAAGTTAAGTCAACTGAAAAGACACGAATATAGTCGGTTTAGCAACAAGATAAGAAAATCCAGCCTTTCAATATGTACAATGTGGGGCAATGAAAGACTGCCACCAGGTAGGATAATGATAATAAACACACACACACACACACACACACACACACACACACACACACACAATCTTTTATAATGCATTAAGGTTTACAAAACAATTTCTTCCCAACAGCCTTGAGATGGAAACAGTACAAGTATATCCATTTTATCTATGAGTAAATCAAGGCCTAGAGTGGTTTAAATGAAAGTCTTCTCTTTTGAGGGCTCCTTGTCATTTGAATTCATACAATTCATACATACCTTGTTAGGTCTGGAAGGGAATTTGGAGGTCACCTAATCCAGGGGTGGGGAACCTGCAGCCTCAAGGCCACATGTGGCCCGCTAGGTCCTCAAGTGTTGCCCTTGGACTGAATCCAAACTTCACAGGACAAATTCCCTTAATAAAAGGATTTGTTCTGTAGAACTTGGATTCAGTCATAAGGCCACACCCAAGGACCTAGAAGGCCACATGTGGCCTTGAGGTCACACGTTCCCCACCCCAACCAACCACTCCATCTTACAGAGGAGACTTGAGGACCAACATGATAAAGTGATTTGTCCCAAGTCACTCATATAAGTGTCAGAGCCAGGACTTAAGCCCAGGTCTCCTAACTTAAGGTTCCATGCTCTCTCCAATATATCGGGTACTTATATCAGTGTTGCAGCTAATGAAAAACTGTGAGTTATTTAGAATGATCTGCTCTGGGAAAGATGCATGCAACATGGGAGTCTAAATACCCCACATCAATATAATCAATGTTTTAACTTTCACTTGAAAGCAATCTATAGCTGGATGGCATAATCAAATCAAATATGGAACCTTAATGTTCCATAGAAAGTCCTATTCTCATTATGTCAAGCCAGCTGAGAAAGCTTCATCACAGAAATATATCTTTTGGTCAAGACTGATCTGCAGAAAATTGCCATCTTTAAAATAATAGCTCACATTTCTACGGCACTTTAAATATATCCAAATTGCTTTCCTCACAAAGATCCAGTGAGGTAGGTAGTGCTTATTAATACCCCTTTTATAGATGAGGAAACTGAGGTTCGGAGTAGTTAAACAACTTGGAATCATAGCCTCAAAGGAATTAACACTGGAAAGGACATTAAAGGTTATCTAGTCCTACCTTCTCACTTTACAGATGAGTGAACTAAGAGAGGTAAAATAAATTGCTCAAGACTGCAGAGATTATATATTAGCAGAGGCAATATTTGAACCAGGATCATCCAACTCCATAAATCGGGTACTTTCACCTCTGTCCCTCCCAAATTCCCATAGATAGCAGTAGACAGATCTAAGATTCCCTTCTAGGTTTCTTCCTTTAATTCTAGTGCTCTCTCTACTCTGATAAAGGACCTGCTGTGCCTTTTGGGCTCTCCAAGGGAGCAAAGCAAAATAACATGTTTTCACCTTCTTCTGTCAAAACTTACTGATTTTTCAAGGCACATTAAATGCTTCTGTCTCTTCCAGGAAACTTTCTCTGATCTTTCCAAGCAAAAATGGTGTCCGTTTACCTCACACCAGATCTTAAACTCTCCCAGGACTTCTTTTGTTCTGCTGTTCTGCACTTTGGAATGTATTCTTTGTTCCTATGTAATCCCTGCTGTACATAGCAAGTTAGTCTTATCTGTATCTTCCACAGCATGAAGTACAGGCCTTACATGTATTAGATACTTTCAAAAATAATCATTTGATGAATTAACAAATGTTTCTTGAGATAGTGAACAACAAATAGGATATAGGGGGGATTTTCCCCAACTCTTATTTTTTTATAGAATCAGGAAATGTCAGAGATGGAAGGGACCTCACAGCTCATCTAGTCCAATCTACACTAGGAAAAAAATCTTTTCTACACCATCCCCAAAGGGGACAACCCAGCCTTTATTTGAATGCCTTTAATGAGAAGAGCTACCACCTCTAAAAGCAGCTCATTCCAGTTTGTGACAGATACTGGGAATTATTATTGTTATTATGATTATTAATACTCCAGGTATGATCTGACTAGGGCAGAGTATAATGGTTTTATTACCTTCCTAGTCCTTGGTACTTTACCTCCCTTAATGCAGCCTAAGATTTCATTAGCTTTTCGAGTACCCTATCATACCGTTTACTCATGGATCTTGTAGTGCACTGAATTCACCATATCTTTTTTTTTTTTTTGCTGTCTAGGCAATCAGGATTAAGTGACTTGCTCAGGGTCACACAGCTAGTAAGTGTCAAAGTGTCTGAGGACAGATTTGAACTCAAGTCCTCCTAACTCCAGGACTGGTGCTCTATCCACTGCGCCACCTAGTCCATATCTTTTTTCAAATGAATTGAAATTAAGTCATGCCATCTTCATCTTATACTTATGAAGCTGATAAAAAAAAAGTGCATCCCTATTTAATTTAATTTTATAAGATTAGATTTAGTCTAGTGTTCTAGCCTCTCAAAATCCTTTGGGATTTAGACTCTGTCATCTAACATATTAGCTATTCTCTGAGAACCCACAATTAGACTAGTACATTGGTTCCCCAGAGTGAGGCTATAATTTTTCCCCTCAGGCTTCTAGTGATAATCCTTTAGAGTTGAGCTCTCCATCAATATGTTTCCCTCACTGATTATCATTTGATATCAATTAACAGCCAGATTTAGTTTTTAGAAATAAGTATTAACTGAAGTGGTATAGTAAGAACAGTTGGCACAAAGCATCTCCCCAAAAGGGGGGAGGGGAAAAAGAAATAAGCATTTATATAATATCTACAATATGCCAGATAGTATACTAAGCTCTTTTTTAAAAAAACAAACCATTTCGTTTGATCATTACAACCCTGCAAAATAGGTGCTGCTGTTTTACCTATTTTACAGTGAAAGAAACTGAGGCAAATAGAATGTGTCGCTTGCCTACACATGTAATAAGTTTCTGAGGCTACATTTGAACTCAGGTCTTCCCCATTCCAAGCCCAGGACTCTCTACTGCACCACCAGCTATCTCTAGATCTGGGACATAATCTTTCTTAAATACATATAAAGTTCAGAAGGAAATAGTCTCAACCTAAAAAAGTTCATGTGGCAAAGGTACATTCATAGCTCCTGCTTACTAGAAGTCCTTTTCTCCTTTGGAAGAGTCCTCACTATAGGTATGACATAATTTCTGGAGGACTGCTTAGAGAGTCCTGAAGCTAACTTTCATCAGTGTGTGTAGTCTATTCTTTACAATTCCCAACGTTGACATGCTGTCAACTACTGATGCTCCAGACATCACATGTAGAACACACATGCAAAGCCTGAAATCTTCTGACCTCTTTAAGTTCATAAGATCAACTTCATCATCTTCATTTCCTTGATCTATCAGGCAAGCACTACTATTAAAAAAAAAAAAAGCTAAGTCACCCTGGCTCTTGGAGATCACTGTTTCCCTTTTCTAGATATTCAGTAACCATTCCTTTAACATAGTCCAGAATTTTTCCAAGAATTGAAACAATGGTCATTGGCCTACAGTTGGCAAACTCTTATCTTCTCCTTTTTGTAAATCAATAAAATTTCTATTGTTAGCCAGTTCTGCTATACCACTCCCCTTCTCTATGATCTTTCAAATATCCCTGATGGTAGCCTAGCAATTATATTTGCCAGTACTTTCAGTACCCAGGGATACAGTTTGTCTAGCCTTGCAAACTTGAAGGCACCAAGGGCAGCAAGATGCCATTCTCTTCCTATCTATATGCTTATCTTGGGTTTCAATTCCTTATTGACCTTTTGTGTTCTGTCCTTTCCAGTCTAAAGCCTGCTTTCCTTAACAGATAAAATAGAGGCAAAATAGGAGTTGAGTAATTTTGTCTTCTCTCAACTGTCATGATTCTATCCATCTGATGGAACAGTACTATTTCTTCTTAAACCTTCTTTTACCCAGTAAAATGAAAGAAAAAATTAAATCCACCTTCTAGTTATCTTCAGCATTGCTGACTTAGGCTTGGTTATAACAGCTTTCACACTATTTTTACAGGACTGTTATGACTTTCTATTACCTAACTTTGATTCCATTCTCTAAGTATGAAATATTTTTATACTGAACACTAAAAAAAAAATCTACTTTCATACATATAATAGAAAAGAATATGGCATATGAAACTGCAGATATCTATTAAGTATAACATGCTTTTCTTTTAAAATATAATAAATTCAGCATATAGTTTTCAAATATGTTTTGCTTGTCTATACTTCTTTCTGGTCTTTCTCCTATTCTCTTCTAAAGATGCTTCAACAATCCTCTTTTCTTTCTTCTTTTTTTCTTTTCTCCCTTTCTCCCTCTTCTCTCCCTCATGTCCTCTCCCCTATTGGGGGAAAAAAAAATTAATGCCTTGCAACAAAAATGCGTAGTCAATAAAAACAAACTCCTAAATCAGCCATGTTCAAAAAAAATACATCTTTCATTCTGCATCCTGAGTCCATCCTCTTTCTGTCAAGAGGTGAGTAGCACATGTCATCGTGAGTCCTCTGGAATCACGGTTGGTCACTTTATTGTTTTAAGGTGTCAAGTCTTTCAAAGTTGCTTGTCTTTATAATGTTCTTGTTCTCCTGCTTCTGCCCCCTTCACTCTGAATCAGTTCATACAAGTGTTCCCAGGTTTCTCTGAAATCATCTCTTTCATCATTTCATATGGTACAATAATATTATATTACATTTATATTCCATAATTTATTTAGTCATTCTCTAATTAATGTTCTTTGACATCACGATATATACTGCTACAAATATTTTTGCTACACATATCTTTTTAAAATCTAAATTGCTTGATGAGTGACAATTTGTTTTTTTACTGCTTCCCCTTTTCTTCTTCATCAAAATTATTCTTTGTGGCTTCACAAATTCATTCTAGAAAGTGCCTCATCCCTCCTTGACTGATTTCTCCTATAGCATTTTCTAGGAGAAAATTACCCTTTCTATAT